GGGAGTTGCCCATCCATAGTAGGACAGATTGGACTATACCTGACCAAACAGAAACTGTAAGTGACCATGAAGTGTCCTCAAAAGTTGGCTTCCAACACCACAACCAATCAGGTCTAATATGAAGTGTTCTTGCTGAGACAAGGGTCTTTTATGATGCTATCTGATCTTTTTTAGTCATAACCGTTACACAAATGTTACACCCCGCCCAGGTATCAGCCCAGGTAGCACAGCAGGAGCAAAATCCACCTCCTCAAACATGTTCAAAAAGCTTTCTACTAGAAAGAGACTTTTCGCAGTCTTAATAGCAGAACAATTCTTCCCATGTACAGGAAAAATTCTTCCAGTAGAAATTTCTGAAGCTTTTGCAGAAAATGTTCAAAATGAATATTCATGAAAGTTATCATCATTCATACCTGTACATCATACTTGTCAATAATATGTAATCACTTATTGAAAATATTAGCTGAAAATGTGAAGGGTGTTTATTAATATGAAGTGATATGAAGTGAAGTGTAAACCATCATCAATCTGGAAGCATCAATTTGGCAGCATATTTTTGTTTCCCACTTTCTGTTTGGTGTTTAAAGTCTGAAGGTTCTCTATCATAAGGCCTAATCATCAGCCCAGCCTGTCCACAGACCGACAGGCCAGTTCAGGCCCGCGGGCTAACCATTGAGCCCAGACCTCTCATGAATTTATCACAAACTTGTTAATTACACAGGTGTGAAAATGTGAATTCTCATTAATTCAGTGGTTTTCATGGGGTGTTCATGAGGCTAATTGGATGCGGTCTGGATGCAGGCTGGCTAACTCAGGCCGCGGGCTAAAGTTTAGGACTGCCAGGCTAAGCTGCTGGGCATGACGGTGTGTGTTCTAGACCGCCAGGCTTGCAATTTTTAAAGTCAAATATCTTGATAAATTTGTACATTCTGACCATAAAAAAAGCAACCTGGTACTGAAGATAGCATGATCTTTCCAATGGCATGCAAAAGTTCACTGTACATCCAGGAATAACAAAGTTGAAAATCAGGGGTTTCAACATAGGTGTCTCAAAATTCGGAAAGTGACATTCCAAAATTGAGGTGACCAGTGTTAAATGATCATATTTGTATGCAGCAAGGAATTTATTTTTCAGTATACCAACATAAGGTAATTTGAGACTTGCACTGGATTTTCTGACAAAAGGGCATACTTTGGACTGGCTTCAATATACTACCTTTGATGATGTTGCTCCAAACACGGCAAAACTAGGGCATAATACTGCATAAAAAAATTTAGTTGCCAAATTTGGCAAGTCCAGAGGGAAATGCACTTGCCCAGACAGTGCTTTTACTTGCTATAGGCATTTAACTAACTCATTATCTTTTTCCCCCATATCAGAAATACTCTGTCAGCCAAGAAAGAAAGGAGGACCAGGTGAAGGTGGACAGTCAGATCCTGCCTCTTCTGCAGAAAGAAAACCATCTGAAGAGCTACATGCGCTCCACTTTCTCCCTCAAGAACGGCCAATATCCACACGAGATGGTGTTCTAGAGATGTCCAGTCTGACTACTAAAACATTCAAATAAAACCAGGCCAAAATATGTGAAATACGTGTCGTTCTTGTGGTTCTTGTGTACAGTACTAGATAGGTTTGCTTAATACACTGTCTTACAATAGCTTTAACAACAATTAGAGTTAAATGTTCAAGGGTTAGGTGTAACAAGTTGTTAGGTGTAATGTAGCCAGCTGCTGCCGCACCGCGTGTCTTTGTAGCTGGTGTGCTACACCGAAGGGTTGTTATACTGGCTATACAGATACAGATACTGAATGGTCAAGTACTTGACTGTGTATAGTGCATAGTTTCACTTCACACAATGAAATAGAGCAGGCATATGAGTTCTTGACATTCCTCTTATAAGGCTCAATAAGGTGCCATTTTAGCCTTACACCACTAGCCTTACACAAACTCCATTTTATGACACATAACACATCAAATACTCCTTACAAGCTGAACTTACTTAACAAGATAAGATGTGTAATATCTTGACTTTGAGAGTTGTACAGTACAAAGAAAATTTATTGTGATGCTCATACCCACACAAAACACTGGGTATGAGTTTAGTATATATCATGCCATTAAAGTCCAAGCACAAAGATGTGTATGCTGGGAGTAGCACAGTACCAAGAAAAAAAGTTATGATCCACACACAACGCTGTGTACGAGATGAGTATACGTTGTATGTCAATCCATAAAGTCCGACGCCCAGTCATCACCAAGGTCACGCCTTAGTTCTCCAAGTTCAGCATCCATCGCTGCGTTAGTGAAGAACCCGGAAGGCCGCCGTTCGAAGGTTTCCTTGTCTCCGTACAGGAACGCGATGGCGTTCTGGGTGTTTTCCGTCATGGGGGTCCCTCCTGTCGACGGCATATCGGCATGGTACATCTCCTCTGTACCTGTTTTGTTAAGACCAAGTTCGAAATGTTTGAAAACTATGAAATTCCTTTATAAATGGTTACAAACATTTCAAAACAATGGGAGCAAATACCCGCTCGGTGACATGGAATGGACTCTAGTTACCATGGTAACAGACACAACATTGGTTCAGGTCATTGAGATCACTGTTTGGAGAAGAAGAGGAAGAAACTGAGCAAAAACTATTTTTAAAACATAAAGTGAACACAAAAACATAACCAGTCTACTACTACTACATTGTACTACCTTCCAACTGTGCGCTGACTGGATCGTGTGGTCGCGGGGCTGGGCGAGGCTTGGCAGCACACTTCCTCTTGTTGTTGCCGGTCGGATCCGGTCCGAACTGGTCGAGGATGGATTTTCTGTTGTCCATCATGGTGACATACCTGAGAAGGATGAAAGAGATGAGCCTTTTTACATCAGGGCCCAGCACCCTTAACTCAAACGCGACGGGGCCCGACATCATCTACAAGATACCGTTGACGTCACACTTCAAAAAAGCCACTTGAGAAGTCTCACTGGGTCAGTCTACTACGGAAGACCAGTGATCTCCAATCAAAATCCTAGGGTGGCAAAAGACGGTATCAAATTGGCCAGGCAGTATCCATTGCCACCCATATTGTACCCTCTCTAGCCTGTGTGCCAGACTCATAGCACACTGGACACACAGTATCTCACTGCTCACTGAGATACTTTGTGTCCAGTGTGCCATGGGTCTGGCAACCAGGCTATACCCTCTCTGGCCAATGAATACTAGTACTGCCTGGCCAATTTGATACTGTCTTATGCCACCCTAGGATCTGCTTGGACATTAGAAGACCAGAGTGACTGGTCGAAAGCTCTAGGTGATAGATTTTCTTTGTGTTGGATCAAAAGTTTTAGCTTTAAACCTGGTGACATACCTGTTGACGCCTTGGACCTCGCGGTAACGCCGCGCCTCTGGAGTTTCCGAGTACATGGCTGTCAGCTTGGTCTCGCCAGGGGGCGTTAGCTTCAACTCGTTCAAACCTGGAGACGCAAGAGTAGTCCCCCTTGAATCAAGCACCCTGGAGGACAGTTCCGTTGCTGATTTTCTTCTCTCCGGTGTGCCGTTCGCTGTTTTCTTTGTGGATCCTTTCTTCTTCCCTTTCTTTTGCTTCTTTCTTCCGCTTGAGGAAGCTTGAGTTCCCTGTCGTCGGCCACGAACATTCGGAGGATCGCTGGACTCAAGAAGACCTTCCACTTCAGTCAAGTCGACCAGAAGCTTGGACCAAGCTCTGTCGTCATCTCTGACGCTACGGTGCCCCGACGTCCCTCCATTCCCCAAACCACCATGCTCGTAAGAGTAGATGATGTCATCCATAGTATTGTGAGCGTTTCCAGCGCCTACGAGTAAGTCTAGATCTCTGGCGTGGTCGTCGAAGGAATACGACGGCTGTCTGGCTGTAGAAACCGGTAAGTTGTTGTCCAAGAAGAGAGCGTTTTGCTCTCCGTGAATCCCAAACATTTGCTCGATGTGGTAGGCCGAATCCGGAAACTCCACACCACTGCTGTAGGCGTGGCGCTTCTGTACGGCAGTTATCCTTCCTTGGTCGAACAGATCGAGGATGTATTCGTCCGGATCGAACCCGGCCACGTTCCGATATTCGTACGGGTTCGTTTCGACGCTTCTGTCGTGTTCTAACAGCAAAGTTTGCTCGCTTTCGGATCCGGTCACATTCCTGTACTTATAAGGGTTCGTCTCGCTGTCTTTGTCGTCTTCTAGCTGCAGTGTTGGGTCAGTTTCTACCATCTGGACGTTTTCTTCTACCCCGTTTTCAGACTTCGGTGGGATTTCGGAAAAAAGGACCCTGGAGTATCCTGGCGTGCTTTCTGAATCTGACGCAAGCCTGCTCTGGGTTTCTCCGTGCGCAATTTTAAGTACTTCTGCATATCCCGTAGACGTATCAGAGGTTCCTGACAGCTCCCTTCTTGCTTCTGTCGTTGTTGCTGTTTCAGTTGTCGACGACTTGCGCTCTTCTGCGGCCATCTTGATGTAGACGGACATGTCCTGGCAGGCGGCGACACGGTACATGGTTCGCGGACGTCTGAACCTCGGCCGACTGGCACCGGGAGGAGGGTGTACCACGGTGTCGCTGTTTTCTGTAACTGCAACGCCGTTTGGCTGTTCTGAAGTCTCCAGTGACAATCTGTTTTTAATTGGGGCATATATAGCAAAATCAAAAGAGGAGAACTAGTCAACAGAAACCAGTCAAAAGTGTTGTTGACCATTTTCTTTAACCAAAATTTTATAAACTTTTCGACACTACTGAGACACAAGTGAAGGAAGACCAAAGGCCAAATGTACCGATCGTTTAAAATACAAAACCCAACTAGTCCTTCCAACCGTCTCATTTCTACTTGTGCTTACTTAGTATATTGTATTGCTACTGTATGATATTGATATTTTGTCCTACGTTTTGTATCATAATAGTTTGTATACTAGTAGTACGTATATGTTGTAGTTGTGTGTGTCAAAGGTAGCCACTACCAGCCTTGTTGCTAACTGGCTGCCACATGCATGTCGCGTTTGTTGCATTTCAAGAAAGTTAAGTAACGTAACGCAACGTAAACGCAACGTTAAGTAAATGTAAAGACAAAAAGGAAAAATTGACAACCTCCTGTCTTCATCACGACCTCTTCTTGTTCTAGGGCGCGGTGGGAGCTCCTCTCTAGGACTTGCAGGCGAGTATTGTACCGTTCCGTTCCCTGGTGGGTCTTCCCCTCTATGCCTGTACTGTACCGTTCGGTTCCCTGACGGTGCTTGGGCGGACGGATACTGGAACGTCGCCCGTACGGGAATAGCCGAAGACGAGGTGCTCAGCCTAGCTTGAGCTGCTCGGCCGCGGGTGTCGTTCTTTCCGAGCTGGGGTTTTAGCTTCGGGGCCTTTGGAGCTGCCGGTGTAGACGAAATGGACCACTCGCTAATGCTGAGACGTGGAGAGGTTGTTTTTTCGTTGGTACTGGAACAAACGACGTCGGTAGAAGCGCTAAACACGCTTTGCTCCGGTGTTGAATCCCCCTGCTTCTGTCGCAACAGACTAACGTCGATGCGAAAAGCGTTGTTGTTGTTGTTGTTGTTGTTAGTAGAGTTTTCGACGTCGGCTGAAATCTTGAGCCCGCTGAGGTCGGGAGCGATGTACGGGGAGTCTCCGCTCGGCTTGGTGGGCGGGCGGACCACCGTGCGCCAGTCGGAGTTAGGCTCCCGCCACCGACGGGGTCGGACCGCCTGGGAGGAATGGAGTGAGTGAGTGAGTGAGTGAGTGAGTGAGTGAGTGAGTGAGTGAGTGAGTGAGTGAGTGAGTGAGTGAGTGAGTGAGTGAGTGAGTGTGTGTAAGTGAGTGAGTGAGTGAGTGTGTGTGTGAGTGAGTGAGTGAGTGAGTGAGTGAGTGAGTGAGTGAGTGAGTATGTGAGTGAGTGAGTGAGTGGTGAGTGACAGTGAGTGACTGAATGAGTCTGAGTGGGTGAGTGACTACTAGTAAGAACGAATGAGTGTGTGTGTGTGTGTGAGTGAGTGAGTGAGTGAGTGAGTGAGTGAGTGAGTGAGTGAGTGAGTGAGTGAGTGAGTGAGTGAGTGAGTGTGTGAGTCAGTCAGTCAGTCAGTCAGTCAGTCAGTCAGTGATTCTTACTTAAACACATTCATATATGTGACGGCAGGAGTCTAAATCCCTCCTGCTATAAAATTGCAACATGATGTAACCCAACTCCACCATGGTGACAGACGTCTGATTAAGGTCATTATTAACCTTATTGCTTTGGAGAAGAACACGAGGAAACAGAGCAAAAACATTATGTTTTCCTGCCGTTAACATGATAATAAAGGAACGCAGACATATACGGAAGTAACACATTATGCCCACCTGGATGTCCACTGGCCGGGCCGGAGACATGGGCATGCGGGATATCCCGGCATGCTCGGCTTCCTGGGCCACGCTGCCCTCAGCAGACATCACTGGAAGTAATTGGGATTAAACCAAATTTGAAGACCTGAGTAACTTGTGTGCTTAAAATTTGTACATAAGTTAGACAAGGGTGTCATTTCAAGCAAGAAGACGCGATGCTAAACTTTGTCATTTGTGTATAAGTGTAAAAGTATTGCATTTCTCTGTGTCCATTGCCATATAATTAAGCATGAAAATTTAAGGCGAATACTGGGAATATACGTTTATGAGGGTTTGAACTAATTCTTTGTTCTAAAAAGAGTTTTAACAAGGTATTAGCCGATGAAATCATTTTCACTATTTCTGCACAACCGAACACCGTTTCAGCACCAAGGACAGACCAAAGCAAGGCAGAAGTTAGCACGTTATTCGAGTAATACTGAAGATACGTTATTGGATTCATATATAAGTTTGTAAATCCAAACTAAATGTAATGAATACGTTTTGCTTTTGTGTTTTAAATGACATTGGGGAATACAGACATGTTTACAATTGCAAAGCTACAAAAGGATAACGGGCTACGACAACCGTGAAATTCTAAGGGTGTTCTAGAACAATGTTTTGTGCACTTTGATGTAAAAGTAGCCAGCACGAAACACAGAAACTGATCTTGTACAGTGTATCAGCATTTTTCTTGCTTATAAGAATACATAAGTCAACACCAGTCTGTGTTGGTTCATCGTGCCAACATTTCATATACATGTGATAGTATAATCTAATACTTAGCAAGTTTCAACATGAAAGTGTCATTTTGAAGAATGTTGTTTAGTGTCTGAGTCGATCGAACTAACAACGTGCATAGCGACGTCGACCGTTCTTCACTTCAAAGGCAAACAAAACATCGTCTAACAAGAAAATCAACGTCACACACCTCAATCTGCTTGAATGTACTGATGTCACAGCTTAGTCTGGGAAAAGGGTGCCATGCTTTCTTCCCACAACGTCCGTCATTAGTCGATTAGAGTGAACGCACAGCCCTCTGTGTGCTGGGCGACAGCAACACGAATCTACGCAGTGTCGCAAACACACTAAGCGGTACATTGTGGCGTTCGGAACCCTATGTTGCGTCACAGTTGCCGTTTGGCAGTTCGAGAACTTGTCACAAGTTTAGATATTACGTAACAAAAACCATTGCGCGGTGATTGTGATGTCGTACCCTATTTCTTAAGTCACAATGAAGTTGTCAGGTACAAAGGGCAATGTTGTCAACACACTAGCCGCTATTTTGCATGTACACCAGTGTTTTTGTTTGTTTGTCCATAGATTTTATTTTAAATGTCAAAATGTAGTAAGATGCGAGGATTAATTAATGGTGCAGCGTGCAATATAACGTTGGACGCAAGGAGGAGCCGTTGGATTTTTGTTAGCTAGGGTCGACATTGCCCGGTATGAGTGATTACCCTTTTGGAATTCTAGTCGACAACTATAATGTAACATTGTGAATTCCAATTTAGATTTCATTTTTCACAACCACTCATTACACCAGATCTAGAACTACTAGAAGATTATGATGAGTACTTTTATGTAGTATTTCATAGATACACACTTCAGACCCTGTATATATGTAGTGTTGTCTTAACGGAGCTCCAACAAGATATAACGTCCTTGGTTTTAAGGTATGGTTTGAACTGCAATGGTATGTTTATGGTAGTCTTCTTTGCGTTTTTTTTTACTTCATGTTCACCACAAAACAAGGCTCATATGAGCCACTCAAATGTTTTGGGTTACTTTACAGACATTAAAGACAGATGTTTGTTGACCTTAGACTTGAGAAGTTTAATGTTATACCCATGTGGGAAACAATCACGTAGTACTTTGTTTTTATTTTCTGAATGACTGTACATTATGCTATGTTGCCCTTTCCTTAACATTTGCGTCTAGATTCGTGAAGAAACAATATTAGCATCATAGCATGTATCATAGCCGGGTTCGCGTGCACCGCTCAGTCCAAAGGTCCACAAACCGGGTAACACAAAACTGCAGAATTCAGACGCCCCGGGTCAACTATGTCATCACCATACTTCCCAAACCTCCCGCGGCCTAAAATAGCAACCATGCGTCGTCAGTGACGTCACGTGTCGTCACACAGTGACGTATGCCCTGCAGCCCAGTGACGCTGTGGCGCGTGATCATGACTGGCGATGACGGAGGTACTAAATAGTAATTTAAAGTTCATTGCAAATACACACAAACAACGTGGTACTGATTTTGTTGGGTTTGACTTCTGCAGTGGGAGACGAATTTTCTTCTATAATATGTTTTTAAGTAGTAAAATTGTTTCTCTTGGTGGGGATAGTGGGAAAGTAAGGGTGCATTTTAGACACGATGGTGAATAATTGTAGCCTCTACCAGGCTTCGGGAAGCGACTGGAAAGGGTAGAAATTAGCCGGAGCTGGTCCGATCAAAGACAATAGTTTGCCTGTACTCTTAGCACGGACCAACTCCCCTGGCATATCGTCTGTCTATTTGGCCAATTTCTACTTTTTTCCAGCCGTCGTTGGTTTTCTTTGCAAAAGCCTCGTTTTCAATCAAGTTCTCTGAGTCATTAACATAATCTATGCCAGAATTTAATTTCATCTATTAATTAACGTGTTGAACATTGTAAGCAGAAAAACTTTTAAAATTTAAATAGTATATCATCTTTTTAATAGCTTTGAAATAAAATTTAGTTGCCTAGAAAGGTAAACAGGAATATGCAACTGATAGTGTATTGTCACCAGCCACAGGAAACAACGTGAGCCCAGAAAGTCGGACCGCACACAGAAAATAAGGTGCCTCAATAGGGTGAAGTTTCCGTACAAGTAATATTGGCAATTTTTTGCAGCCCACACCCTTGATCTGACACGCATTGTCAATACAGGGTGGGGTGGAAAACAAGCAAAGGAAAAACATCATCAGTATATGTTACACATCTGCAATTTTTTCATCTCTAAAAAGGTTATACAAACACTAAGTTCCCATATAAACTCTAAGAGCTCACATATAGAAACTCTTAAGTACTCTAAATATCAAATACTCATAGAAACTCTAAGGTCCCATACAAACTCTAAGTGCTCACAGAAACTCACAATAATTTAGAATTAAAGACACCACAAACACTTGACTATTCACAAAGTTTATTTACAAATCTCTCAATACACAAAAAAATGACAAGCTCCACTCTCCCTATACAGCACCGTTTCATCAATGTTTGTCGTGGAACTTGTCCGCTAGCTTCTTAATTCTACAGTCAGTACAGTTATTATTTATTACCTTGTGGTGGGAAGGTTCAGAAATAAGTACAACACAGCAAAGTAGAGCCAAAGAAACTTGCTCAAAAAGCTGCAGCATAAACTCTTATGGCTGGAATCGTTACCAAGGGTGGGTTCAGGTTCAGAATTTGTAAGTGTTGGGGCTTTTAGCAAAATGTACATGCCAGGAATAACTCTCGTGTAAAAATAAAATTTATGGGGGAGGGGGTGGTGGATCAAACATCCTCGTGACACAACACTAGATGTGGTAGTGTTAGGAGCAGTATTGCACCTAGCCAATCCGTATGAGCCAGTTGTATAAATTTGTATGCAGTATTTTACAAGCCTGATGCCAATGGACACAGCAACATACACAGAACAACATGCCAAATCGTGCTTGGGCCAGCCAAATATATATAATAACCTCTTCAACAGAGCTTTCATGAAAAAGCATAGCTTTTACCCATCCACAGCTCATTTTCAGCTGAAGTTCTAAGTTTTTTTTTGTTATTTTTCACTTCCATGTACCAATTCTTTCACAGGAAAATCTGCTGAACAATACATCACTTCTATGGCCTCATTCCTATAAAAACGACCGCGATCAAGGAGATTTACAAAGGCAAGAATACAGAAGACATAGATGATGCATCAAGCAAAGATGAGAAATGTTTAGGATGAAAACTTTGCAGAAAACACAACAGTGGCATGGTAAGTACAGAGATGAGATGAACATGACAAGATGACAGATGCACATTGACAAAAAACTACTCAATGCCGACACAACGAGAAATCTCCACCAACACTGCTGCTCCTTCTCTCTGCCTCAACATCAAGTAAACCCTTGTCACAAACTCAACTCAACATCTTTTTCTCCCCTCAAGTCATCGTTCATTACCAAGACATTTGTGAAAATCCCAGCTGTTTTCCTGAGGGATTAGATTGCATCTCTCTAGCCTCCTGTGCAGGTCTCTGATAGGGAAGGTGTTTTGATACTTTAAATGCGTTTTTTTGCTAGAGAACTGTATACCACCAGAGAAGGTTATACATGTACTGCCAAAGAAGGTTATACCCACCACAAAATCCATGGTGGGTATAATGTTCTCTGGCAAAGAATCCATTTAACACAGCAAAAAAACTCCAACCCACTCCGAGGCCTGCACAAGAGGCTAGCATCTCTCTGCAGTGCATACATACATGTACAGACACTGCAGTTTGGACACCTCCGCAGTTTGAGTTGTTTCTACATCCACTGCCATCATCATCTTTCATGCCATTTCTGCATCTCTGTTCATCATAAACCACTCTATTCAATCCAGAGAACAAAAGTAGGAAAAACAGCACATTTAAGTCTTCATCCATGAAACAAAGCTGGAGCTTAACGAAAGGACATAACAAATCGCTTTCAGACAGGCTAAAGGAAAGTGACTGTACATCAAGTAACATAGAGATAAAATTCTGAGAGTTTTTTTGTGATACCTTCCTCACCACAAGTATACGTAGCTTACAGTTGGTAGCAGCAAGCTTTGTGAACAGTTGAAATAACATAACAACAATATCTTCCTTCTTAAAAGTCAGACCACCCCCAAAAAGAGCAAACGTTCTTACATGTAAGGTAAAATTTAACATTGAGAAAGCATAAACAATTAGTGTTAGTACTAGTTAGCGTAAACAATGTCTTGGCACCTAAATATCGCCTACAGCTTTGGCCCAGCTTTCATTATATCGTGATTTTCAGAAGCTACTGGCTTTAACCGAGACTAGTCTATATTACATGTACAGAGGCAAACATACATGTACATAAGAAATCACAAAGGCAAACATCTAACTTAGAAAAAGTTGAAATATTTTGAGAATTCCCCGTATAACATCAAGTCTGGTGTAACATGGTCAACATGTTAGTAATAACCTAGGCACAAGTCTCTTCAAGTCCCTGCTACTCTTGCATTGTTAAAGTTCACCCTGCCCTCTACTACACTACACATGCTGATACACTCATGTCCACATAAATATGTTCTTAAAGGTTTCTCAGTTCTTATTATTTACACCTTTTCACATCCTCAACAGCAGCTTGATACTTTTGGTACTGTACAGTGCATATTTAGGCGACAGGATTCTGCCAAAACCTAGGACATGTTTTTGTTGTTTTTTTCTTTTCATTCTTGAGCCCTTTCTACTGGGAAACTTTTCTACAGTATTTCGCCCACTAGTAAAAAGCATACTTTTCTCTATATGGCCTTTTGCGTGCTTACTAAAAAGCTAACCGTGAGTTTATTACAATAACTGTTACATTCAATGCATAAAGGAAGTGGTCAATGGCTTTGACATGTTTCTCTCACAAAGAAATCATTTTTTCATATTTGAAATGTTCGTAACTTTCAGATATAAACTGCTATCAAGATCTTCTTTGAAAAAGCCACATGCCACAACCTGGCCAGTTCCTTAAGCAATGAAAATTAAAACTACCAGAGGAAACTACACAGGAATAAGTACCTAGGAGCATATCACACACACAGTCATGCAACAGATACTTCATACTTTCTCTGTTAATACTCTGCTTCCTCTAATACTGTTTTAGGTTCCCAACACTTTACAGACAAAACTGCAACCACTGTCTTTAACATATTACAATTCTGGCTCTAACACCAACCATCCCTTCAATTAGTACTTAAACTGCTTTGTTTTCTTAACCCTCTCTCTGCTACATACATGTGCTACACATACATGAAAAGCAGGAAGAGGGTTAACTTACAGGAGAGAGAGCTTGCCATGCGAGTATGTATCTGCGATTGACAGGCAGTACTGTTGGATTGATCTTTCTCCAAATTTTTCATTGACGACTGACAAGCTAATATTAGTTTGTCTCAATTAAGCAATGTACAACCCATTTTACATAGTAGAACAGGTTGAAGTGCATACTTTTTCATATGAAATATCCAAGCAAAACTACAGAGTGTAGTTGTATTCAAAACTCCTGGTCTTTGACATACATCCTAGTGTTCTCTGGTTCAAATTCCTGTTCTCACCGTATAAATGAATACTGAACAATTCAGATTTGACAGTTTTAGGTATGTGAAATATACACTGTGAGGGGATGGTTACAAGCAATACCCAAGAAGTCAAGCTGATGCATTCACAAAAACCTTGTCTTAAACTACACATCCTAAATATTTTGTATGCTTGAAAAAGATACCATTATGGTAAAACTTCCCTTCACTTCTGTATATATACAGACATACAGTTAAATGTACAGAAACACAGACGATAGACACTGCAAGTCACTATCTGTAACACTTCCACAGGTCATCAACCTCTGCCCCCCTCCCACACACCATTCTGTATAAGTCAAGGTCAACCAATGTCATCAAGCATTCCATCTACCAATTCACACAAATCTGAGAAAGAACCTCTTCTTTACACAACCAGATATCAACATTAACAGAACTTTCTATTCTAGCCTGGGTGCCGTCCTATTTGTATGCTAGGGCTCCCATACTCCCTTTTGGAGCCAGTATAGGAGCCCTGGCATACATGTACAAATATGATGGCACTCAGGCTATTTCTATTCCTTGATGAACATTATTTCCTTGATGTGTTGTAGCCAGAAAGTGTTCTCTTGCATTGTGTCAAACTAGATATATATTTTCAATTCACTAAGTATTAGATTGGTTCAGTGAAAGTGTATCTGTAAGAAGTGACTGATTTGACCAACCAAGTAATATAACGTAACTCTGAAGAGCTTGCCATACATTTTACCTGTTACAGTTGTTGTGGAATAAAGTTTCACTTTACTGTACATAAGTTACCCCAACTGCCCCCCCCCCACTTCTGTGTTAGTCTGCATACAACGCAACCACTGACAGCAGCACTGTAATGTCGTCTGGTTTTCCTCCTGCAGAAAAAAAAAAGAAGATTTTTTTTAAACCGGCAACTGTTATTTACAACAGATATAAGGATTCAGGTTCTGAATCAACTCCAAAATGCTCATATATGTATTGGTTTGATGAAAGTTTAAATTCATTGTTTGAATTACAATCCAGCCTGGTATGTTGACTTTATAGCTATCGTAGCTTTTGGGGCTATCAGAGGATGCCTAGGCCTGTTTGTATTTTTTTCACTCTTATACATTTTGTACATAAGTTTCTGTAAAAACCAACAAATTAAACTGGTGTGGCCTAAGCAAAAGGAGCAAAATATGCCCGGCATCCACTAACAGCAGTGTCCCAATCTGTAGATGAAAGCATCAATTTGTAACACACATGTACAAGACAATTTGGAGAGAAGCCAGACAAATGAGATCTAACCGTTCCACAAGTCAACTGGGAGCAAAGATAATCTCAAGACTTTGAACAAAGCCTTTGATTAACAGTAACCAGAACTGATATCAAAGGTATATCTGTCAGTATTACACGAGGATTACATCGTTAAGTCCAGAGTGATTTCCCTTCTGTGCTATATAAGAAGATAAAAGTTGTTGACCTCCGAGGCTTGTCAGTGCAACAGCTGCAAGACTCTGTTGCAAATGTCACGGATAAACTGCTACAGATCAGGTTCAAATTTATGGGCTACTGTGTCAAAAAGGGCAAACCAGGTTTTAGCATCTAACAGTGATACGCAGTCAAAAACATCTGTATGTGTATCTGTACAGTCGGTATAACCGCCATTTGGCGTAACACACCAGCTTCTGTATCAGTATAGCCGGTATAACCGCCATTCGGTGTAACACACCAGCTTCTGTATCTGTATAGCCGGTATAACCCCCCTTCGGCGTAACACACCAGCTTCTGTTTCTGTATAGCCAGTATAACCGCCCTCTGGCGTAACACACCAGCTTCTGTATCTGTATAGCCAGTATAACTGCCCTTGGGAGTAAAACCGGCTTCTGTATCTGTATAGCTGGTATAACTGCCATTCGGCGCAACACACCAGCTTCGCAGGCACGTGGCGCGATGGCAGCTGGCTATACTACACCGAACGACCTGTTGTTCCATTAACAAAACTAATGCTTTTCTTTGAAACTACCGTCTCTCTTGCATATCAAATCTCCAAGTTTCTAACATAGATTTGCCTGATAAACCGAAAGAAATTTTTCCATTGACTGACCTTTGACATCTATCCCAGCATGCTGTGCTTCTGTGGCGAAGGGCGACATGTACTCGGGGTCAAAGGCCAGCTCCTGTGCCTGCTCCGCCAGATTCTGTGCTGTTCGCTCGATGTTCTCGTATTTGTGATCCTGAAGAAAACAAGAAAATAGATCAAAGCTGTTGAAGGATTTGCTAAAAAGCTCAAGTATACAGGGGGGAGTCTGAGGTATCTTTTAATGGTGGTTTGTGCAGATATCAAAACGTATTGGTATTGCTGGGCTCGAAGTACTTTTTTTTGCATATCTGCACTGGTGCAGATAACATTGAAAATTACCTGCACCAAGTTTTACTTGCACCATTCAGACTTTGAGAAGTATGGCTACTACAAAATGTTCATAAACCATTGCCATGATTTCCTTCATACTTTCATACAGTATGATACAAACCTATCTTGCCCCTGATATTCTGCACCAATATATCATACCCTAATGTGCTACTAGCATGTACCCTTATAATGGACATTTACTGAGCCAATCTAGTGAGAAACCCTCTTTCCATCAGACACAGTAACACACAGTAACCTGCCTGATTCACAGCTGACAGTGACAGATACTGCCCTGGTATCATCTAGAGATGCACAGCACCAGAGTAATTACATTTCCTCAGCAGCCAGTCAGAGCTAACTCAATGTGTGAATCCCTCGGTTCTAAATTTAGCAGTAATGGCGATTGCTTTGCTACGATTGGGAGCCAAACTAATTCTGATTAGCACTGCTGTCCAGGGAAGATAAATAACTTTGGAAGACTGCCACAAGATTTATGGCTGTTCATCGAGACAATCTTCGCACCTGAGAGACGATTGTGAATGCTTCCTTAATGGGTACAAGCTATAACTTTTCAAGTCTAAGGTACATTTGTAAAGGAACATTTAAGACATTAGTATCGTTTTCCAATATTTTTGGAAACCTTCGGTACTATATATTTGCTAATTTTGCAGTTGCTTTGTACGATTTACAGCATGGTTGAATATTTTTTTTTTTGGAAACTGACGAAAATTCATTCGCACACGGATGTCCATAGAATCAAATCAACATGGCCTAACATTTAAAAAATGGACACAAGATTTAAGACTTTACATCAAGACAATCTTTTATGTTTTCCTGTGAACTTCACACCTGAAAGATACCGACTTTCATGTTCTATAAACCTTCATCAACATCATGATCATCATATCTGGTGAGTTACATACATATCGATGTAGTGAACGTTAAAAAATAGAAACATGTTATAGAAACAGTGTTACAAAGACTCACCCTAAGTTTTGATAGTTCCTTTAAGACCATGGAGTCGGACAGGTTGTCAAACAGGCCGTCTGTTGCCGTGACTATGAGGTCACCCTCCTCCACCAGGAAGGACATAAAGCCAGCTGCCTCAGGGCTGGGGAGGGAAGCAACAGACCAGGTCAACAAAAATGTACAAGTAACTCTCTTTCTCTCACTCTCTATCCGGTCTATTGTCTTTTGTTCCTCATAATGAGGGTTAGACTTTCTTGTACTTTGATGCTGGGGCTTGATGGTAGCTCGCCATGTGCCTCTGTCCTGTGATTCTAGGGCACAGCAGATGTCAATACCCCTGCAAGTTAGAGTTTCAGCAACTTCACCGGCCAACCACACAGTATCAGGTGACACAATCCATGATTCGGAGTTAGTCATACAATGTACATGTACCTCATACAAACTACATCAAAATTGAAACATTATTTACATACAACTTAACACATAACTTTACATTTTAAAACATATCATCATGTGTGCCTATCAACTATCTACATTATGTACCCTGTGCAAAGATACAATAAACAAGGAAGCAAGTTATGTACCAACCTGTCACTGAGCACCAAACCATCCTCCCTGGGTGATGCTAATGACAACTGGAAGGGGGTGTTGAAGTAATGCTGCTGCTCTTCTGATCTATGTACAATTTCTCCTTTCCTCACCACCATGAACCCTGAGTCACCGAGGTTGGCAGAATACAGTGTTCTGCTGGGGCGGTCCAGGATTAGGACACATGCTGTACTGCTACCTGTGAGGAGAAAGTACAGACTGATCAGCATAAAACTGCTTCAATATTTCTGTTCATTTAGTAGTTGTACCCCCAACTTTACCTTGATTATTTGAACCCTTTCCTCAAAGGACAAGAAATAGTCATACCTTTTAAGTACCAGAATTATCAACCAAGAATTGAGGTGTTCTTGTTTTTTTCCTAGAACTATCGCAGAGTGGAACTCACTGCCACCAAATATAGTTGGTGCATCCTTGCTGGATAGCTTTAAACAATGTTTAAAGTTAGATCTTCAAAGGCTAGGTGTAACAGGTTGTTCAGTGTAATATAGCTACCTGCCGCCGCATCGCATGCCTACGGAGCTAGTTATGCCAAAGGGCAGTTATACTTGATATACAGATTCAGATGTCGTTCGATGTAATATAGCTGCTGCTGCGCCACGTGCCTGCAAACATGATGTGTTTGACTAGTACCTAGAAGCAGTTGTACAGGCTATACAGATACAGGTACTGCAGCATTTCTGCCATTACACTTCTTTGAAGTTTGATGAGGACTGAAGTAAAGGAGCCCCAAGTTAGACCCAGACTAACACCAGTGCTAACACGGAGCTTGATCAAAGCGGAAGCCATTGAGACACCCGACATGACCCATTGCCGGCACTTTGTGGCACTCTGGCTGAAGTGGACCCAGGGTGTTTGCTTGATAGTTCAACTGGTCATTTGTCAGCTTGAATCGCCAGTGAAAGCTCTCCAAAAGTGTCAAGTGCTTCATCAACTAGACGTAATTGCCCTTTTTACTGTGCCCGGAGGATTAGAGTATGTTGGAGGAATACGTTTTTACCATTGCAATTTGGTTTGTATGTTTGTGAACAGGGTAGTTAGTGTGAATAGCAATTACTAAATAATAATATTATATAAAAATTCAATACTGGCTTTGCAAAAATATTTTGTTCACATAAGTAAACCAGTGGGAGTTATGCCTTTTTTATGATAATGCAGGCTTAAGAACATAAAATTATGTTTCCTTTTTCCTTGACATACATGTACACAGATTTGGCCTAACAGAAATTGCTATTTGTAATTTATGTAAAGCACTCTGCCTGGCACTGCCAAACTATAATGCCTAGTAATTGTATTCAGTTGTTTGAAAAAACGTTAAGGTTAAATATAAAACTGGCTGATTGCTTTGCAACCATCTTGTAATTACTTAAAAGCTTTACTGTGTACATTTTTCCAAACATGGCCAATATTGACTTTCGGGGCACTATGGCTTGTTTTCTGACAGATGGTTTCCTTGCATTAGTGTGCACCAATTTAATTTCTTGGTTAACGGATTTTTCTAGGAAAATAATGGAGCGGGCGGGCGAAAAAAATAAATAAATAAAAACAGGCCTAGACATCCTATTATGGCCCAAAATGGTACGATAGGAGCTATGAAGTCAACACACCAGGCAGGTTCAAAATTTAAGCAATGAATTTTGAACTTTAAATGATACCACTGCATTGAAAGATGTAATGACTGTAACAAGTAGTAAGAAAAGGACTGTTTTCAACTGGTCAGGGAAAAATATGAGCATTTTGCAGTTGATTCTGAATTTTTATTTTTATTTGCAAATCAGAAAAAAATGAAGCGGCGAATCCGTTAACCAAGAAATTAATTTGGTGTGGCCTTAGTGCACTTCTTTCTTCCAATCCAGGATGTTATCCATCCACTGTCCATAACCAGGAGAAATTTACAGCATATACAGGTTCAATGTGCTGAACAAATTCCTCCACTCTTTTTGGTGACTTGCTAATAAGTTCCAGTACGACCATCAGTAGACCATTAACAACATTCCAGCCAAAAGACCACAGCCCTTTTAGGCTCACTGCCATTTGGGGGAACGGCAAAAGGTTGAGGTCCAAACTTTTCACCTTACAGGCCAAAAGCAGGCACACTAACCCCTAGACTGTTAACACTAGAGGTTACTGACCATTCTTGACTGAGTCAGTGCCCCTTGGTAAATCCACATATACATGTAGCCAAAACATATTGCAATGTAATAGTAATACATTATATACAAGCTGGCCTTATAAGATTCCTTAGCCAGATCTTGGGTATTTCAATGTAAATGGTATAACTGTATCTGTACCTGTATATAGCCAGTATAACCACTCTTCGGCTCAACAAAAGTATTTGACAAACATCCAAACCAACAGTTTTTTTTTTATTCAGATGGCTGCCTCATGCCCCCCACTGGTCACTCTTTTAGAACAGTCCAAATCACCCTGGATGAACACTATACTTGTTGTTGCAACTTAAGAAAATGTTGGCATGTGTGATGATGTACATTTGGCAGCTGTCAGAAAGACCTCTGACATACATTTTGTAATCACTAGCAGGGCATTGACCTTAGGCCTCCTACTCCATAATTACCTATTATTGGACGTTATAAGATTCCTCAGCCAGATCTTGGGTGTTTCAATATAAATGGTATATCTGTATGACTGTATCTGTATCTGTATAGCCGATATAACCGCCTTTGAACATTTACCTCTAAACATAATTTAAAGCTATCTAGTGATGATACCCCTAGTGTACTTGGTGGCAGTGAGTTCCACTCTGACTGATTGAGGTAATTTTCCTAGAACTCTCAATGTTAATTGTATGTTTCAATGTTGCTGGTGTAAGTGGTGATGGTAGGCAGTCTAATGTAGGTGAAAGTGTACGTACAAGGTAATAACAGGCAGAGGCTGTTAATAGCTAAAGCAGAGGAGGCTCCCTTTCCACCATAGATACTCACCTACAATTGGACCTTTACTTTCTAACAACTCGTAATAGCTGGAGAAAGTGGTGATGGTGTGATAGTCTAATGTAGGTGAAAGTGTACATACAAGGCAATTACAGGCATAACACAACTGTTCTATCTGTATCTGTATCTAAGCCGGTATAACCGCCTTTCGGCGTAACACACCAGCTTTGCAGGCATGCAGCGCGGCAGCAGCTAGCTACATTACACCGATCAACTTGTTCCACCTAACCCTTGCCTTGAACATTTAACTCTAGACATTGTTCAAAGCTATCTAATGATAATGCCCCTACTGTACTTGGTGACAGTGAGTTCCACTCTGTGATAGTTTTAGAAAAGAATGAATTCTGGAACACCTCAATCCTGTTGATGCATAGTCAAAGCAGAGGCAGTCCCTGTCCCACCATACTCACCTACAATTGGACCTTTACTTTCTAACAACTCGTAATAGCTGGCTGCGATGAGGCCGATGGGTAACGCGGGTTTGAAGCGTCCTGCCTGCACCAGTCTCTCACAGGTCTTCATGAGTGAACTAGAGAAGAGAGAAGGGTCCACGCCATAGTCTCTCCAACCTCCAACACCGTCAGCTACCCCTGGGGGGATACATAATGCAACAGCTCAGTATTATAGTATATTGGTATCATACAATTGTACATAATAACATAAAATTACTGGTATATATAACTGGTACATGTACATAGTTCAGTATCATACATTTGTAGTATCTATCATTTGCAGCATCAATTGTATATCATAAATTCATAATCATAACATTACTGGTATATACATGTATAACAGTTTAGTTCAGTACATATATAATACAATGGTATATTATTACAGAAAATTACTGGTATCTATTACGGGTATATATAACAGTTCAGTATCATAGTATCATACAATTGTATATCAGAACATATCTATTACTGGTACATTGTAAATGCAACAGTTCAGTATTATATCAAAGTACAATATCGTATATCATAACATAAAATTACTGGTATACATTACAGGGCTAGCCTGGTTACCAAACCTATTATAGCTACCGAGTCCTACATCCTCGGATCCGCAAATGTATACGTAGGACTCGGGAGCTATAATAGGTTTGGTAACCAGACCAGCCCTGTAATGTATACAAGTAATTTTATGTTATGATATACAATTGTGTGATACTATGATACTGGCTATTACAGGGCCACATATCCACAATTTGTATAATGCACTTAACAACTCTACATAATCATGTAATGACATATATCAACGAGAGTAAAATTTTCCAATTGCTCACCTATATATACATATAACAAATTAATAAAAATGAAAACATCACAATTAATCAATGCCTGCTCTAACCTTTGTCCATACATACAAATCTCTGTTATCGATAAACAATTCTTGACTAAACAGTCTACAAGCAAGTATGACTTATGATTGATGCCTTTGAGCTGATTCAACCTTTTATGACCTAATTCTGTATGTCATATTCTCAACATGACTGATATACCTACTGATATACATAAAGTTAAAGCACAGACTTTGGCACATTGGTAAACTGTCAAGAACAGACCTTTTAATTATTCAAGAATATGACTATTTGTCCTACATGTAGACACATTAATAAACTATTTAAGAGCAGACTGATTGAATTATTCAAAAACTTCACACCCAGGTTGGCCTGCAACAGCTTTAACTAAGATACTGAATAAAGAGACTCTTTTTACACAACTAAGTCTTTTATTAACCCAATGTTTTGGTGACCGTCTGTCCCCTTCCTCAGGGCAATTTGCTACTGTATAATAAAATATGCTACCCTGCTGTTATGGTACTGATATATTCATTGTCACTGCAAAGTCAAACCCCAGTTTAATTGCATTTAATCATCACAGTGCAGAACATATAGTCTTGGGACACTGTGCTAAAGGTGACTTTCAGCAAACCCACGGGTGTCAGAAACCTATGAATAGTAATGAAAACAAGGCTTGCATAACTGGCTATAACCAGTCCCTGGAGGGACAAGGGAACATGTACTGTATTCTGTAAAAATGAAAGTGTGCTTTTGATTTTGAACACAATGTCCTAAACTGTGTCCAAGCATCTCTCCTTGCATATGCTAGCTTCAATTTCAATATTTGACAACTGACGGGTGGTAACAGAAATCCTTTTAATATTACGAATAAAATTTTTAAAAAACAATTAGACATTTCATACTCATAGGGAAAAGATTTTCTGTATACCATGTTTGCAATTAAGGAGGTTTAAACCTTGGTGTAATATACCTACTACGTAAAAGCCTTCTCTAGCACACCTTTGTAAAAATACACAAATATTTGAGGACCAAATAGCTGCCACACCCACTTCTTACTGTACAATGGCTAAAATCATTCTTTCGATTCTTTTGCCTTTTTTACATTTTTATCAGTCATGATTCCTGTGCAATTTGCTTTGTAAATATTAATGATTTAGTAAATATTACAGCATAGAAATTTGTCATATTTTTAAACCCCTTCCCAAGAATATTTTGATGGATTTCCAACAGACACAATAGCTCCTTATACCTAATACCAGGTAGCCCGTTATTAATAATTTATGTCTAATGACATACAAAATACCACATTAGATCGTGAATGATGTATTAGTCTGTGTACGTGACCCTTTCCACTACTCTCAAACATTTAACCCCTTGCAAACAAATTAAAGCAAAACACAACAATCATGAAACCTAAGATACCCCTAAGGTTAGGTTTGTTTTGTAGCATTGAGTAGACCTTGTCTGCAGGTTACAATAGATGACGCTATGCGAAACAATGGTTCGTAGATCAGATACTTTACGCAAAACAATGGTTCGTAGATCGTTTTCCATCTGCAAGCTCAGCAGTTGGGGGCTCTCTATTGCAACTGTTTTGTTTGTTGGCGTTATTGACACCCGTTTTTGTTTACTCTGTAACGTTTGTGGGTCAGGGGTGGCAAACGTTCGGGGCACCGTGTTAGACATCAGCTACCAAGTTTGCATTGCAACTTTTATGGGTTTAGAAGAATTGTCTAACTCTAAGCTCAGAGTCTATGGGCATTATGAAAGGTGTAAGAAATTAACCCTATTTTTGCCAACGCCTGTAGTTTGCAGTATGACTTTTGGCACATATATGGGCCCTTAGCAGGGGGAAAGTTAACTATTCAACTTCAGTGGTAGAAATACTTTACTTCAGTGTTCTGCGAGATTGCAGAAATTTTGACACAATTGAACCCCTAGCCTGATTTTTTCAGTCTGCAAATTGTAGGTTGCTTAATTTTTCTTCTGCAATATCAAAAATGTCTCTGCAAAATGCAGACTGCAGATGGGATTTTCGAACAATAAACTTTATCATAAACTGAACCTCACCACTTTCATAGCACCATCTGGTTGTCTGTGGGGAAAAGCATTGAAAATGGAACATGCATTGATCCATCTCAGCCACTTGAGCATATCCAGGCCCACTAAAAGGTTTATAAAATGATGGGAATGTACCGGTCCAGCGATTTTATCACTTAAGCTTTCAGATCTTGTTATCACAACACTGTGTGTCTCCTTCTCATCCAATGTTTGCCGGGGAATATTACGTAATCTTATAAGTCCTACAGGAAATTGCTAACATTTATTACTGTCTGGATAAAAAAAGAAACATTATTTCTTTAGTCCATGTTTGTAAGATGGGAGAGAAAAACTTTTATGAGCCTTAGGGTACGTTGTGTTAATGGAAAACCAGATTTGTGGTGCTTGAAACTGTGACGGACCGTCAAATGCAAAGCCCAAGTCCAATTCCATCTCGGAGCAGTAATGCATGTTAACCTGCTATCACAGATCAGGTGCCCTTTGGTCGTCCTTAAGAGTTCTGTTGAAAAGGACTTGTGATACATACAGATGAAAAGGACATGTGATATATACAGATGAAACATGTACTGGCTAAGGACCACTATCAATCATTCTATTTCCTGTGGGTAGTTAACTTCATGTATCACTTTGATGAACTTCTCTTTGAAATATGGTTCAAGACGACTCCTAGTGTCTCACAAAATATTACCTAGCTCATGTGCATGGCATCACTATCAGAAAAAAACACCAGTTCCAAAATTTGCTTCATCAGAGGAAATTAAGGACCGCTATCTTTCTAGGTAGTTTATGTATCATGTTGGCAAAATTTTCTTTGAAACATGGTGCATAACGATTTCTAGTACATGTATCTCACAAAATATTACCTAGCTCATGAGCATGCCATGGTATCAGAAAAAAACACCAGTTCCAAAAGTTGCTCTATCAGAGGAAATTACGGACCGCTTGGTTCTAAATAGGAGCATGAATCCTGCTGTCTACATCTGACTGAACAGCCCAAACCACCAAACCGTTTCCCACCCAGCCAATAAACCTCAAGGTCTCCCCGACTTTCCTGGGGGTTCAATGTCCTCATAAAGTCCACCGGACGTGACTGGCATTTTCCAGTATGTTGGTATACAGCATACTGTAACTTTGAACTTGTAGATGTTTCTTCAAGTTCTACTCCTTTACAATACGTTACCAGTACTCCAACATAGATCACTACAATTTACAAGTTCATTCTTCAAATAGAAGTCTTTTAACATTAAGCAATATGATCGCAAAAACAGAGAATTATCCAACAGAGAGTTTGTGATCTTAACTGTGAACGTGTACTACCACTAGTATGTGTATCTTTAACTCCTTTACAATATAGAGTTACCAGTAGTCCAACATATAGATAACTACAATTCTCAAGCCTCAAAGGTGCCTCGAAGGTCATCCTTCAAATAGAAGTCTTTTAACATTAAGCAATATGATCGCAAAAATAGACAGCCATCAGCACAAGAGTTTGTGACCCAGTATAAATCAAGTCATGGGTTCAGCTAAAAGGATCGCTGCTAAATGTCAAGTACAAGATCACTTTACACAGCTGATAGCTGGTGTTCAGCTGAAACATGCCCGCTGAAACGTGAACTTGACTCATCATCAAGTGTTCTTCTGACAAAATAAAGGTTAAAATAAATGTCCTGCAAGGGAAAAATGCAGTCATCCAGAAATAACTGCACGCATAATGTCAACTCTCTCACGACCCTTTTCTGTCAGTTCTTCAGAGATGTTGTCATTAACAATGAGACTTCCTTTACCAGTAACAAGTTTGCTACTACTCTCACCTAAGGCTTAAACATTCTTCTGTTGAATGGAACAAAAGGTAGAAAATTGCACCTGGATTTCGAGATAATAGCATGTGTTCTCACTGGCCCCGAAGAGTTGTTGGATAACATTTCAATGAAGGTGACAGTTTAATCTTGGACTACATACTCCAGGGGTTGGGGGTAAATCCAATGATCTTACGTTGGCATCTTAGGTTACCTTCTTGATCTGGCAAGAAAGTAGATTAGGAATGAAGTTATGGAGTCAAGATCCAAGAGGTCACATACTTAAGATTCTGCCCAGTGACACTGAACAATCAAATCACTAGACAGTGCTCAGTAAACCTTCATGCTTCAAGAATACAGAGAACAAAAATGGTACTAACTGTAGAACAGATTCAGGACTGTAACTGCAAGGAATATGTTGACATTTTTATGCTCCTAATCTATCCTTGTTCATCCAGCAAGAAGGGATGTATCAATCAGCACTATTAATATGTATTAATTTTTATTTTTGTTGGCACTGACTGAGCGACTTACGTAGGTACAAGAGTGAAAACATCTGTTTGTACTTTTTGATGGACAAAATATTGGTAAACGAAAAGCATATAATACTATTAATAGTACAGATTGTGACATAACATATAGGAAATAATTCATGTTTCCAAGCCTAGCTTCTTCAAATTCCTGTGATGCACTGTTTTTGAAGAGAGATAATAAATGGCCCTTAAGCACTCAAGAAGGAGAAATAAACACCGTAATGTTCACTGACTCAATCAATTGTGCTTGTATATGAACCTAGTTTATCCTGTGACCTAGAAAAGACTGACCAGTGCATTTTAGTGACTTGTGGCTACATCTAGGCATCATCAATCGTCAAGTGATATTTATAGAAAGAGCAATATAAACAGAGTTGTAACAGTATAATGAACCAATAATGCTTGAATTTGGGTTTGAAAACAGTAATGTACAGAGGTTTGTACTTCACAATCAGAATACCTCTCGTCCTTATGGGAGGATTTATAATTTATTTACAATTACAGTGACAGTTACATGTTGACTTGAGTACAAAATTAGGGCCAACACATGAAAACGTTTACCCAAAAGATTCCTGTTTCAAGACATCTAGCTGTAAAAAAAACCCCTCTATCACGATTTAGCAACACTTCCTGCAGCATACATGTAATAAGCATATCAGTTGCACTAACAGCGTGAGAAAATTTGACGGACATTTGGAATGTGCCCTTCAGCTGTGTCCTCTGGCCACATACCCCCTGCGGAGACTTGTACTTGTAATAGGACAGTCTGGGGTCATGACCCCCATAGGAAATCATTCTGGTGATCAGGGATTGCCTGTTCTGTTATGGTTTTACTGCAAATTGGGAAGAGAAGCGCCTTTAGGGAAAAGACAGTGTTACTAGGTCATTAAATCTTCAGTCCTGTCCCCCATATTAGGCTGTCATTATAGCTTCAGAACTGTCGCTCATATCAGACATATCTATAACATAACAAATGCTTCTACACTTACTGTGAGAGGAAGCAAGCCATATTACTGGTAATAGCCATGTGTGTTTGTAATGACAGATATAACAGACAGCTAGGAGGCCACTTTCAAGTTTGTATCTGTAGACTGTATGAATCATAACAGATATTTTGCCATTGGTGTTTTTACTATGAAAGAAAAGACACATTGTACAAAATGGGGAATCCAAATACAAGATAATCATATCATCAAACTCTTTGCAACAATAGGTCTAGACATCAGGCATACCAACCAGCCATTATGTATTGTTAAGGGAAAGGGTGTGTTCAACTACTTTGAAAGAACACCCAGTGTTTTGTACACATTCCCTTTCTGTACTACATGTTCCCAGTTGGCTACCTCTGGTATAACTTCCATTAGCAAAAGAATGTGCCTTTGGCTGCTTCAACATTACATTTGGGACTGTCACTGTCAGAGATGGGCAGGTATTGTCTCTGGAAGTAGCCAGCTACGGACATACATATGTAATTCGTGATCATTTAAGATTATGGTTCCCAAAGTAGCACCTTGAAAGTTGACCTTAAATCAAAGTTTCTTGAAGTTGTATAAATTTTCTATTCCAGAACAGTTCCATGCAACATACCTTTTTGTTTTGCCTGTTACCTTGCCCTTCTTAAATATTATGTGCTCTTGTTTAACAACGTACTTCAAGCTTGTTTGTCTTTGTGAGAGGACCATAAGAACTACAACTGGTACTTAAGCGTTACCCTGCCTAAAAGTAAAACCCACCTGTCTGCATGCCTTGTGTACACAAACAAGAGACCATAAATCTTTGTTAACCCACTGCATTATTTTTCCTTACAATTAGTTTTAGTATTAGAAAGAGGCCGGGGGCATTTTATATGCATGGTTATGAGACCAGGCCTGTACAATACAAAGGCTCGAACTAGCATTTAGTAACCCTTTGTTTGGTCATCATGCCAAATGTGATACAGTTGGCCCATAGTGACCTGTCCTAGCTGGAGCACATGGGGTCTGACAATAAATCAGGACCTGACAGGGGCAGGCAGTCACTGGGCAGTCAGTGGGGGGGACACAGGTGGACTTTTGACCTCTACAAAATCCTGTGACCTCTGTGTAGTATTCGATCGATAAAAAGGAGATATTTGGACGAGATTTTGTTAGGTTTGATTCCCATATCGATCACAAACGTTACAGTTTGTCCATGACAACAGCTCACTATGGATTTCCTCTAGGCAAAACAAACATCCAGGCGGTCCGAACCGGCAGAACGTTTTTGCTCAAGGCTGTTATGGAACTACTTTACGCCCTCTCTAAAGTGAAAGTGGCCCTATTCCTACATAATTTGATTCTTGGGACTACTACAGTAGTAAGACTGGGGATAATACCCGTGTAAAGTAGTAGAAAAGTCAACAAAACATCAGCTACACGTGCAAGACCACAGTTCGTACCTAACCGGGTCCCGTGGGAATTTAAACCGGAAGGTGATTATGCTTAGCTCTCACGAGGGAGAACTCAAAGCGATCGCTCTTTGTTTAACTCTCAAACCTTCAAATGGTACTTACCTAAGACATCTACGTTTTTATATCTTGCTATAAAGTAGGCGTCGTCGCCGAAAAGTCCCTTCTTGTGTATCGAATTGTTGAAGTCTTTGGAAAAGCCTTGCGCGGTGGACACCAGGCACAGGTCTCTTTTTCTCTTGGTTCGCAGGTCTTGCGTCGTGGCGGGCGAAAGAAGGGCCCTCGTAAGCATGCGACCGTACACGACCACCGACTGCATGCTTCTGTGTCCTCCCGAACTGTTCTCACATGCCTTGAACGACCGCGATGACCGCAACTCCAAACACTGAAGGACGAAAACTCGGTCACAAAGTCGCGGGTTCCGAATCCTGCATTTCTGGCGACGCCATCTTGCCCAGGCCAGTGCGCATGACAGGGTTCCCGTGACGTCACGGATTGCGTAATGGCAACGCCTACTTTGGGATGCCCTTATATGGGCAGCACGTTCTGGCCATCAAAATAATCATCAGCTGATTTCGCATAAAATACAACTCTCCAAGCAGAGGTTTGGGTTTTGGCTTATTTTTGGCGTGTTTTTAGGCTTTTTACCGGGGTTTCTTTTTTTTTTGCACTGGAAGTTTTAGAATCAACCAACCCAAGAAAAAAAATTCCAGTTCAAAAAGAAACCCCACCCCCCAAAAAAGCCTAAAACATGCCAAAAATAAGGCAAAACCCAAACCTCTGCTTGGAGAGTACTAGTAATAAAATACTGCACTTGTGGTGAAGCAAGGAATGTAAATAACCATAGCAACTGACAGAGAAAGGTTTGATCTTGGTGAATGACTCCTTTATCCAGGTTATACACACTAATATTTGTCAAACCAATGTCCTTGGCCAACCCGAGGAGGTTATCTCCATATAACCTCCTTGGTTAACCTCAACATTTACTGTTCAATGTCTATCTTATATTTCAGATATCGATTACATACTCTAAAGGTCATGGACATACCAGCTGAAAGTATAGCCTACAGATTGATAACAATGCAATATGATAGCTTTCCTTTAATAACTGGTGAAAAACCTGGTCCTTCATTCAAAGATTATTATGTTTAGGATGGATAATCATGATGTCCTCTGGATCAAAATCCTTCACTGCAGCTGTAATGCTCTTCTTGTCCACCAGAGGGCCTCACTACACTACTGTTATGTAGTTGCAGATATATCAGGGGGACTAGGTCATGTAATGTATGTAACATCTGTGTCCATAATATCACCAGGGTCCATAATATCCACCTTGAGAAACAGTGCGCTTAAAGATATTTTTACTGCAACATACTTTTGGTATGCACTCCTTCACACATCAAATGTACATACCTAGGGTATGTTGCAGTAAAAATATCTTTAAGCACACTATTTCTCAAGGTGGCGATATAATAACCCTGGTGATATTATAGACACAGATGTTAACGTTAGTATTTGGTGCAACAGAAAGTTTTCATTATGTTCATAAAGCCAAAAAAACTGTTATACTCAAGCAACTGGACAAGATTTTGGAAATGGTCATACGTTTCAGGCAGTATCCACTACCGGTGTACCACAGTTCTAAATGTTGGCTTGCAACAGGAATAAAGAAATCAAACATAAACAAATCTGCACAATTGTTATAAAGGTCTTACAAAAAACATCAATTTATTTCTATAACAATGACCTGAATCATCTTATGTCAGGGTTACATGTCAAGAGCAAGAAACTGATAAAATACTTTTGGGCGAATATACACAATTCAATAGTTAGACTATGCCATTCTAAACCATGGATACTAAATGATGTATGGGGAAGATTTTACTTCCATAGATACCAAGGAGGTCCCTTTTTAACCCCCTTATAGTTCTCCTTGTAGTAAAGCACCTTTACTGGTATAAAGTACCTATACTATGGCACTATACACTATACAAGAAGCTAACAAATTTGACCTTGGAAACACTATATTGCTGAAGAATAATTATATCAATGCTTGGGCAAATCAAGTAACTTTTGGAAAGTACATAACAGTCCCTTTAGAACATTTTCCTAAAAAAAGATTGTTTCCTTATTCTTTCAATATATATACAGTACATGTTATATTTACACTGAGGGTTTTATAAAATGAGTGGAGATAGATTGAGACGACAAGTTCAGCATGTTAGTCCTCGTCGTCTGTGTCTTCACATAGAACTTCAGCTGTGTCTGTTGGTGCTTGTGTGGCCTGAGACTGGGAGGAGATCCCAAAGAACATGGACCGGAACTGTGAAGGAAATACATACTGTTAGTTAAAGTGTGTCCTCATATCAGTGTTTTATCATGGGCCATTGTCCGTCTTTCGTTTTGACTCATTTCACAGAATTTTGCTACTTGTGATGGACATAAATTCTGCCCAATCCATTGTCTTTTACAGACAAGAATCGGCATGTAAAGAAATGTCGACTAAGCTTAGGCTACAATCAAAATTTTCCAAACAAAATGGATTGTGGGGAGCTATCAAAAGCTAAAAAGGCTGACACTCAGACTAGGAAATAGGATTTCACAGGGTCAAAATTTTCCCAGACTGTCTGATCTATTTAGAAACAGTTCCTACCCTCTTGCTGGGAGGTGTGCCTGGAACCAGGTCCTCCTGCTCCTGTTCCTCCTCTTCCATCACCATGGAAACATCATCATGTGACTGGTCATGTGATGTGGGCTTCTCCTCAGGATAACTTTGGGATAACAAAAAGTTCAGGGAGTTACATTTTGAGCAGGAGCATGCAGCCTGTATATATACAATGTAGTTTTTTTTCTTCTTTTTCCAGTAAAAGACTCATAACCATTTCTTCAAAGATGTTCTTACATTATCTACATTATTTAGGAAATGACAGCCTATACAATAAGAGTACTAGTACTTCTAAGAAATATACCATTGCGAGCACACATTTAACTTCACAGCCAGACTTACTGAGCTCTGGGCCTCTTTCCTAACTCCAGCGGGATCTCTGGGCTTCCAGACCTCTCCGGAGATGCCTCATGTAGGGATGTACCATTCCTGGTATATGGCAGAGCAGAATGTTAATTTGTTTCACTGTAATGTGCTTAAGACTGCATGTCTCAAAGCTAAGGGAAATCCTTTGAGAAAATTTGAAATTAGGTGATCATTTCAGCTGTAAGTGGAAGTTACGAGTCATATCACAATGTTGCATTTTGGCCTATTTCTTTTATTGGGAAAACCAAAAAGTATGACTTTCTGTACCAGTTCTCACTGCTCTGTGAATAGTTTGATCAGTTGGTAAGTCAGTGAATAAAAGAGATTCTTTTTTACACAACCAAGAGGTTTATTCAGCCAACGTTTTAGAACGCATCTATTACAGTGACACCTGTGCAGTACAATGTGAACCATTCAGAATTGCCCTGAGGAAGATGACAGACGGTCACCTGAAATGCAGGCTGAACAAACCTCTGGGTTGTGTAAAAAAAATAGTCTCTTTTTTAAAAAAATTCAAGTTCTAACTGTTGTAATTTTACCAGAGCATTTTCCCATACCTCTGTTGTGCTGCCTCCTGAGACAGGGCTTCCTCCATCTCATTGGCTCCCATGGCCATGACATCATCCATCCCATCATTCATCATGTCATCAAACCCGCTGTCCATGGGCAGGAAGCTCCCCCCTCCCGCACAGGATCTGAGAGGTAGACAGAAACATATTGGAAGATTTTTCTGTTTCCTCCTATTTTTGTCTCCAGCATGGTCAGCTTAATTGTCTTCTGCTAATTCTCAGGTTCATGGTACTTTTGCGTTCTGTATAATGTCCTTGCATGTAGCAAAATTAAAAGATAGTGTTTTTTCCTTTTTATTGTCTTCCTTCTTACCCAACCTTCCTTGGAATGGTACAACATACATTGTACTGCTCATCATCAAGTATTACCAAGTACAGCAGCCTGGAGTCCAGCCTTGTTAGCTTTGGTCCGCTCCCCAAGATCTGTTATTGTTGGCAGAGTGGATCTATTAGGGAGCAGACCAAAGCAAGGCTGGACTCCAGGCACAGTTGAAGGCAATGATGTCTGTGTGTGAACAGGATACTCGGTACATGTCAAGACATTCTGTTTTAAAAAAAATCAAGAATGGTGGATTAAAAGGGCAAAATCTGAAATTAATACAAGCATCCATAATTTCAGCACCAAGGATAAAGCCATAAGACTTCCTTAAATTTTCCACTCATCTTTGATTTACAAAGCTCACTCTTCACCAGGGGATGAAATACCTTTTCCTTCATGTCTGCACTGGTGCAGATAACTGTCAATTAAAGACAGTTAAAGTAAGAGCTTCAGAAGTTTGGTTTGTCACCTGTTTGGTTGCCTGTTTTCCTGGAATCTTCTATTTTCCATCATTCCACTTTCGTTCCTCCTAGTTTGCTGTTGTGTCCTCTTTGCTGTTCTGAGAGAAGAAAGAAAATGCAAAAGTTTGAAGGCAGTTGCTGAAAAAACCTCTAAGTCTTTGCACATTTTCTACAGGGAAAGCACTGGTCAAACAAAAAAAACAACACTTGTTTCTCAATATTTCCTGTCTCTGTTCCATCCTGAAATAAACATTGAGACAATGACAAGACTGAAGCAACAGAAACCTTGTTCTTATCCTTGTTTCAAGTATAGACAAATAGATTAATCTACCTTTTTGTTTTTGATGTTGAAGGCCTGTTCAAGGCTTGTTGTTGAGAAGACTGTGAGCCTTGTGTGGAGCCGAGGTCAGCTAAGGTCGCCATCACAAAGTTGGAATCAAAGGCTGGGTCTCCCTCCAACGAAAATACTATAGGTCTGCAGGTGCAGATTTTAAATAATTTTAAATGAGATATGGGGAGACCTAGAGTCACCAACAACCTATGTTGTAATACAAGCCTGCATGATACCAACAAGCTACCAAGGGCCATAGAGGACAAAGTGCTATGGAGGAGACTTTCTGGTAAGTAAGTTATAATCAAAAGAAAAAAGCCCACACAGCAGTGAGGTGAAGTTCCACAGCACGTATCTTTCTTTATTTACACTGCTTCTGTTTTTTCTTCACCTCTTTTAAGTGTTCAATATGATAATATGACAGTTTACAGGATTGAAGAGGTACGGAAATGTTCTTGTACTTACTTGCCACTTGTCTCAAAGTGCAGTGAGATGGGCATGCCTGCTGCCTCTGCAAATGCCAGAATGGCCTGTCAAAAGAGTTTTTAGTGTGGTTAATAGAAGTCAGGGCTGCTTTCAATGAGCAAACATGCATGAGGTATTCAAGATTACAACTACATATAGGAGGAGGATGTTGGTACCTGAAGCTGGTGTGTTATGCCGAATGGCGGTTATACCAGCACCAGCTATACTGATACAGATACAGATACCTTTCAAATCTATGTTTTAGTTGTCTATGCCTGTTTCTCCCAATACAAACTCAGTTGCACAGACTGGCCCAAATAAAGTATGGATACTAATGTAGACTTTGAAACAATAACTAGATATGATGACCAACAAATACAAAGGTAGGAATTTTCTTACCCTCAGCTCCTTAAGACAGAAGGTTAGTTCTGTGTCCACACCGATCTGGAAGTAGTCAAACTCCTCTGCAGCTAGGCTCATCTGGGTGTGGAGGACTTTGCTTGGGTCTGCATGGATGGAAGTACATATATTGGCAAAAACTACGACAATTACAGAGCTATGGTCTAGCCCAACAAACTACTGCCCTGTTTATTCTTACACATTCATACGCATATATATATATGATGAGCAGTCCCTCCAGCTCTGTCCTGCTACATAATGTAACTCAACACCACAGGGTGTCTGCTACAGCACCAGTTACCATGGTGAGAGAGTCTGGTTCAGGTCATTGACTTTATTTGTTTGTAGAAGAAGATGAGGAAAAATAAGAGACTGTGCAATAGCAATATGCGATGGAAAACATTATGATATGAAAAGTAAAAAAAAAATATTAGTATGCTGTTCACATACATAACACTAACATCAGCATGAATTCTTGAAAGTACAAATCTATCCCACTATATTTTACATGACCCTCAAATTTGATTTACAAGCAGTGCTTACCTGGCTCACTTTCAACATAGTTTTTGAGAATGACCTTTTCAGGAGAGACAATGAGAGTGATCTCTTCTAGAGACACCTGGAAGTTCTGAACCACCTCTGTCAACAGTCTGTAAGGAAAATTATATGACTCATACATACAGCAATACATTCATCTATCTGCTTCAGAAACAAATGAAAGATCAAATGGCTATTTTCAGTATGTCTACACATAAGAAATGCAGTACCTAAGTTTTAATGAGTTAAATTGCAGACACAACGAAAATACTACAGACTGCCAATGGCCTGCCATTAAGCCACAGCATCAGTGTGCAAGCACATCTAACACTCATAATTATATGATGGGGAACAACAGACACTAAACCGGATAGCGAGTAAGTGACAGTATTGTACCACAGCATTATGATTAAATGTTAAGTTCCTCCTTACTTTGGCTGTGCAGTGATGGCATTTGGACAGAGGTCCTTGGAAAAAACAGCCTGTAACGTCTCACACTCTTGAAAGGTCAAGTTGTAGGTCTTTGTTATACCTGTAGGAAGGAAAAATACAACTCTGAGACACCAGTAACAACACAAATCAACATCAGTATCAACACAGATCAACTATGGTGTCAGCATCTTTTGATAAAAATGTGTGCATGTCAGGACAATTTTTCTCAAATATCTTTTGATTTGCCAAAAAGCAGTTACTCAAGCAACTGGATATGATTTTGGATTTATTGATAAAAACTGATATGATAAATACAAGACAGCCAAATGATGTACTAGCATGTAACTCTTGCACAGTGAACGACAACAATTGTACAGGATACAGTATGGCATCTGCTGGTAATATTTCCGTCATATATGGAAAAAATGATAGTAACAAGAGAAAATGAAGTGGGAGTGAGACAGCAGTTTGAAGATTAGACTCTGACTCAATTTTTCATTTACTCTACTTGTTTACAATTAACAGTCCAAATTGGAGGAAGACTTACTATGTTTACAGTAGAGTTGGAAGACCAGTCTTGGCCCTTCATCCAGGGTGACCTTACACCTATCCACAGTCCGCTCCAGGGTGGGGAGGGAACGGAACACAGCCAGAACTGACTGTGGGACAAACAGGCATAAATACAGATGATGGTGTCAGACTGTAACAAAAAAGATGCCCACAACCATACCAAGGTTGTATGTGGGTGATATGTATGGTCGTCATTGCATGATCCACAATTTGACATGTACATAATTCATTATCCCTATGAATCAGATTATGACTGTGTTGCTATACAGTAATGATGACCACTCTTGACAAATATATACTCTATGATAGAGTCAGTACAAGCATGATACTATGTGATAGTGAAATATCTTAATAAAATCTTTGCTTTTTTTAACTGTATACTTCAATTGAGTATTTCATGGATGTAGCGATGTTGAATAGTACATACATGTACATTTGTACCTCACCTAATTTGTATCACCTTTTGCCATATGAAAACACTAATGATCATGATCCCAGAAAAACATCTAGACATCTGAATGAGTGATGAGTGCAACATTCTTACCTTCATCTGTATCTTACACTTGAATGTCTCCTCCTCCTCCCCCATCTCTCCCTCCGGACCGCTCCAGCTGTTGTCATAGTGATAGAAGAACTCAGGAGCGAAGACGAAGCAGCCATACGCTGACCTGGCAACATTCACAGTACGCAGGGCCAACTGGAGAGAGAAAGAGAAATATTTTGACATAAGTCAGTCAGTGTAATGTAGCCAGCTGCCGCCGTGCTGCATGCCTGATTACTAGTATCTGGTATGTTACGCCGAAGGGCGGTTATACCAGCTATAATGGCCATGTGTCATCTTCATCATTTCTAGTCATAACTGCCCTGATGAAGAATTGACACATGGTCATCGAAATGTCGGCTCTTGTTTAACAACTGGTTGTGAATAAAGAGCTTTTCCAAATTCTACACTGTTTATGTCAAAGCATGCAATTGTGCCACTTAACTTGTATCGAAATGGAAATTAACTGAAGAAATGTCAAGTGGTACAGGAATTAAAGACATACCCCGTGTTCCAGTGGTTCCAAGTACAGCTCCTCCCCTATTTTTGATAGAGAATGGATCGCCTTGCCAAACACTGTAACAGTTTAAGTAAAAAAAACTCTCATCTTCTTTCATATTTTCTATCTCGTTAATTTCTATGATCGTCATAACTATTTGCTAGTATCTATTCTTAACATTTTGAGGCAACTGTGTCATGATCATATTGTCATAGATATTTTACTTGACGATCGTATACGATTTTAACTCAAACGTACTAGTAGTATCATGTTATGATGATGAACTCACCAAATTATGTTCGGGAACACATACTTTGCGATGTACACGATAAAAATTATAAGCAAAACAACCAACTGTTGACAACGGAAGTTTCAACTTTACCTTTGATATTTGCTCCCGGAATTATACACTTCATGTTTACTGCACTCAGGACTAGTACGAGTGAATAAACATCACAAGAAAATAAGAAATCTTTCACGACACAAAAGTGCAAAATTTTGAGTTCGGCGCCATTTTGTTCACTCTCCCAATGCGTTCCATAAGCCGTCACGTCATTGGTTGCTCTGTTAAAATTCTAACCAATAGAAATCAAGCTTTCATACAGTGGTGCACTTTGACCTCCGCATGCGTGAAAAGATATCACACAGATCCTGCCAAAATGGTGAGTTGTGTCAAATGTTTGGCGAAATTACCCAATATTTCCACTCCCCGTGCATGTTATTGTCTGTATTTAGGTTCTAAAAGGTATAGAGGATAGATGTCTTTTGTAGGGGGATGTAAGAATCGAAAGAATTGTGCGCAATGTGAGATATTAGAGCTTGGTTCATTTGCTAGGGGGAGGGGCGAAGGCTGAGAGAAACAGGAAGTCATATGACTTACTCTTACTCTGACCACAAGATTTTCATTTACAGGGCTCGAAATACTTTTTTCTGCATATCTGCACTGGTGCAGGTAGCATTGAAAATAATTTACGTGCACCAGACAAATGTTACCTGCACCACTCAGAATTTGATAAAATAAGTATGAATCATACTGAAACTATACTGTTCAGAAACCACTGCACTGCACTTTGCCAAATTTATAATTACTTTTTATTTTCTTTCATGCATCATAGTTGGTATCAGACATTATGCAGTAAATAAAAACCAACACAAACCTACATATATGCTGTAGGGGCAATCTGTTTGACCACAAAAGTTCTCCACCTCAGCAGTGACCAATACAGATGAGTTTATGATTTTCAGGAAAAAGCTTTATCAGAATCTGTTTAAACTACATGTTGTACTAGTAATTAAAGTTAAAACCTCTGATTCAACACAAAGAAGCTCTCTCACCTACAGCTTTCGACCAGTCACTCTGGTCTTCCTCAGTAGACTGACCCAATGAGGCTAGCTTGTCACTTGTCTTCTCTGAAGTGTGACATCAACACTGGGTCAAAGGTATCTGGTAGACAATGTCGGCCCCCATCGCGATTAAGTGAAGGGTGATGGGCCCTGATAATAGTTTAATCAGAATCTTGTTCCCTTTTCCAGTTGGTCCTTGTACTCGGAGACTTGCACATTCCCTACCGCTCCAACGGGATGCCGGCAAAGTTTAAGAAACTTCTGGTCCCAGGAAAGATCCAACACATCCTGTGTACAGGAAACCTCTGCACTAAGGAGTCCTTCGATTACCTGAAAACTCTGGCCAGTGATGTGCATGTAGTCAAAGGGGACTTTGATGAGGTAAGTGTGAAAGTGTTCAAATACAAGGATATTGAGCTTTTCTTTTTACACATTCGGTAAAGGCTTTCACCTGCTTATGTTTTTCGAGGCCTACACACTGTCAAACTTATGAATTTTCTTACAGAAAGTACCATGCAGCAATCAAGCACCATGCATGAGCCTCGTTTTCCCTTTAATACCACTCTTATTCACAGGTTATGGAATTTTGTAGAATTATTTTGCATGGTTGTGTGAATTTTTTATCTGATGGCCTTTGTTCTTGTTTCAGAATCTAAGTTATCCAGAACAGAAGGTTGTCACAGTTGGACAGTTCAAGATAGGACTTTGCCATGGACATCAGGTACCAACAAAAAAAAAACTCTTTATTAGGTTTTTAAATCTTGACCCCCTGAAATGCTATTTCCTGCATTTTGATGGGCAAAGTTTGCTGGTAGACTAAGCTTAGTTTAATGACATCTTTTTCCATATCTTTACACGCCAAATTTTGTCCATCAAAGATGACATTTTGGGCAAAATTTTTGTCCCTCATGAGCTGCAAAATGCCATCAAATGATGAAAAGACAGACACTGGCTAGAACACATGCGGTTCGTATGTAAAACAGAACAGTTTAATTTGTGGATAGTAGATCACTTAAGCCAGGTAGGAAACTCACTTCCAGTTGAGGCTGCTCATCCATTCACCAGATCATCATTGCAGACAGTCCAAGGCCATGTAATCATACATCACTCTGGGGTTCTTCATATATTTGTCTAGCCTATTTTTCAAAGAGTTTTGCTCTTTTGTAACAAATTGTCTCTCTAACAGGTTGTTCCCTGGGGAGATATTGAGAGTCTAGCCATGGTACAGAGACAGCTTGATGTGGACATCTTGATATCTGGCCACACCCACAAGTTTGAGGCTTTTGAACATGAAAACAAGTTTTACATCAACCCAGGGACAGCAACGGGAGCATACAACGCATTAGACAGGTATGGCATTCTTGAAATGATGATTCTTTGTGATGGTAGTTACAAAGTAAGTTAAAACTTTTGTTCCAACACAAAGAGTTGTTCTTACTTAGAGCTTTTGACCAGTCACTCTGGTCTTCCTCAGTAGACTGACCCAGTGAGACTTGTAATGTGGCTTGTGACTGTCTTAAGTGTGATCCACTTGGAAGTCAGAAGCGTGATGACGTCATGAGTGAATCAAAAGTGCCAGAGAGTCAGCGAGTGGATCACACATCTGACGAAGGTTGACGAGATCGACCAAAAATTTGACCAAGTTCCTTTCTTGTGTTAGAACAAAGCTTGAACACTGATTGCTACCCTCTGCAGCAGTGTGAAGCCATTCTTTTTACTGATGGACTTTCCAGGCCAACACAGTGGACTTAATAATTTTGATTACAAGTCTGTTACAGTTTCCAGATTGTACTTCACATACAGTCCATGTATTGTATACACACTTAAAGAAATAGTTGTTGATTGCTGACCTGTTCCCTGCAGTGGAGTAACGCCGTCGTTTGTACTGATGGACATCCAGGCGACCACAGTGGTGACGTACGTGTACCAGCTGATCGGCGACGACGTAAAGGTGGAGCGTATCGAGTACAAGAAGTAGCACCTCTCCTTTCACTCTTCTCCTGTCTATCTTAATCTCCAAGCGGATCTTTCGCTGGTTGCAAAGACTGTTAGACTGTATCCGCTTGACACCGAAAGACTAGCCTGGTTACCAGACCTATTATAGCTCCCGAGTCCTACATCCTCTGTTTGTGGAGGGGATGTAGGACTCGGGAGCTATAATAGGTCTGGTAACCAGGCTACCAAAAGATGGCAAATGGTGGCAAATGGATACAAGCTTGGCCAATTTTCCATGGAAAGATGGATAAAGGATACAGGAGAAAAAAACTCCTGTGTCCTATACTTTACCAACCTGATGAAACCATTTTCGAAAGATGGATACAGTCTGGTAAATGGATACAGCATGGCCAATTTGATACTGTCTTTGCAGCCACCAAAATATCTGCTTGGAAATTAGTCTATCTCACCCTCTCTTTGTATTTGTATAATTGTAAAGAATCATTGTATCTTCAGTAAGAACCTTCCAGTTCCATTGTCCTGTCAATCACCTTTATGGATTGTCCAATCAGATGACGTGTTATACAGGGCTGTGACTAAAACACAGTTTTATTGGTCAGTTTGGATAAGTCATTCAGCCATATTTGGAGAAGACCTATTCAGCTTAAACTTGACCCATCCAAAGCCTTGGTGTTTAAGCCTTCATGACAACCCTGGCTTTCATGTATTGTTATTGAATCATACGTTATACATTGTATGTGTGATCCTGACTAATATGATTACTGTAGTTAAAGCTGAGTGTACTGAGACATACCAGTATTCCATTTTCCAGCAATTTGAAAATTGTTTTCCATGGCTATCTAAGTTGTAAACAAAGCATTTTGTTCAAGAGTTACCACAGTGTACTTCATTGAGGTACCATAAAAGGCTAAGACGTTAAGTACATCAAATTTAACTATGAGACAGACTGAGATACATCAGTTTTCCTGATAATCTCATTATAAGTGATCTTGTGCGGTGTAGTCTGCACAGTAAAATTATATATGCTATCATGGAATATATTGGACTTTGTGATCTCTGTTGTGTAGAAGCCAATAAGGTATTTAGATATAATGTGTTTAGTAGTAGCTGCTGACACACTATTTGAAACATTGTTCACCGACCATTGATATTCGATATTATGATTTTAGAGAGAAGCTTAGTGTCCCAAGATATCATGATTGTTATATATATTTATGTTCATACTGTGATCTTTGTGTCAACAAGATGCCCCAATCAAATAACTCCATCAGTGTCAAAAATTGTAAGAGTATGAATTATAGTTTGTTGTCACTTTGATATTATGAAAACAGTTGACTCTTTCAGCTTGAAATCCTCAAATTTCCTTCACTAAAGATGTTAAAAATGCTACAGACAGGAAAGCCCATAAGAAATTTTGTGAAAGATAGAATAACAAAAAATCCATGTCTGTTGTTACTCTCCATATGAAATAGCTTTCAGCTATTGTCCCTTTCAATTATAAGATTGCAATGTATATATAGCATCACAAGAATAAAATACATTCAGTGCAGTTTCAAGAAGGTTCAATTTTATTGCCGTACTAGCCATACAGTAATGAGGAAGTTTTCACTGAAAGTCTCCAATATTTACAAATAATGTACCAGCAAAACGCATTTGAAAAGTACATATACATTCCTGGTCCTCAATTTACTATTATATTATAGCATGATTTTACTCTTAACTATCTAAGATTGTTCATAATTGGCATACCTCGTAGTATCAAAGTTTTACATCTGGACGGTACATACATTTGTATGATATGGACGGTACAGTTGCATGCTATAATCGTACACAGTAGTACTTGTATCGGGATCCACTTTACAAATATCTGTAAAGGATTGTTGTATTCAAACTAAAAAGAGTGACCCCATTTTTAACATTTATCCAGTAGTCTAATCTACAATGAAGTCTTGATGGCACATGCAGTTGACTGTCAGAAAGCTGAGAAGTACCTTAAGCCTTTAAAAAAAACAGTAATCGAAAACTTTTTAAACACATTTCTCTACACTCTGCCACGACACTAAAACCTAACCAAAATTGTTCTGATGCTCAAACCAATGATTAACCCATTTTCCACTTATAGTTATACCAGTATTTACATGACAGCATGCTGGATTTTTTTCTCTTTGACATTCAAGTTCAAGTGTTGGCATAAGAATTGTTTGTATTTGTGCAGTGCAACGCTTGCTGTTCGCTGAGCTCTGCACATCCACTTGAGACATCTAACCCTTCCAGTTCCAGGACCAATGAGAACTGGGCTTACATAATTGATCCTGGAAGGGCCAAAGATGTTTAGTATTCAGGCACCCCATTGGCTATCCAGGGAACCCACATTTCTCTAGAGCTCACACTCATGTTATCACCGGGTGGTTCCAGCAGCCTTTGGGAGCAAAAAAAAGAACAAAAACACGGAATGATACCAAAAATAGCATGGAAGTAAGGCCCGTTACCTTTGACTTGCCCTTCTGGAAGACTTTATACCCTTTTAACACAACCAAGAGGTTTATTCAGCCAATGTTTCGGTGACTGTCTTACACTAGTCTCCACCAGACTCTTTTGCAGACTGAGTAAATAGTAGAAATCGACCTAAAAAGAATGTAGCTGGCCAGTCTATGTAGCCAAACTTGACCCTCTATGGCCAGCCAACTCCCCTGGCCAGCTACATTCTTTTTAGGCTGATTTCTAATATTCATTCAGCCTGCAACAGAGTCTGGTGGAGACTAGTCTGTCACCTTCCTCAGGACAATTCTGATTGGTCACCTAAACGTCGGCTGAATAAACCTCTTGGTTGTGTAAACAGGGTTCTCTTTATTCAGTGACTTACCAACCGGATGAAACTATTATTTCACGGAAGACTTTATATTATACAGTTTTCACACAGAATCGTGATGCAAACAGTGTTTACAGACCATGCTTCAAACATATACAGTAGATGTGCAGGAAGTATTTACAGACACACAGTTGACAGCAATGCACATGAAATTTTTTTTCCTTTTGGCACAGACATACATGTATTGTACATGTACAACAAATCATGCACTGTGACACCAAAGTACAGACATTACCCGAGTACCTTAAAACCTCTTTCCACATTCTTTGTACACATGCACCTGTTGGCTGAGGGTTACAGATTGTGAAGTCATGCCTCAGACAGTGAGTTAACTGCTCCCACAACTGTGGAAGGAAAGTGGTGACAACGTTAAACAGTATTATAGGATCTCCACACCAGTTATCACATGCACCAGTCCTTAGATAACCATGCTGAGACGTTAGCCTGTGAACACAAGCTCTTTGTCTGGCGCTTAAGGAGCTGCCCACTCCAAGGCGGACTAACAAAAAGCGAGGTTCAGTCAGGCTACGGAGGCGTGTGCAGGTGCATTTTTTTTGTGGGACACTTAGTACCTTGCATCATCTGAGTTTTCGTCATCCTCCTCTTTTTCTTCCTTTTCTTTTTCCTCTACCTCCTCTTTTTCCTCTGATGTCTCCTTTTCTTCAGACTCCTCTTCACTGTGATCTTTTTCCTCCTTCTGGGGTGAAGGTTTTGCCTTTGGCTCCTCTTTCTTGCTTTGATCTCGTGGTTTTGGCTCCAGTTTGATGGAGTTGAAGGACTGTGACAGGTCCTCATCTGGTGACGGACTCTTGGGTGGAGTCTCCCTTTGTGCTGTTAAAGATGATCAACATTTACATGTAATGTTTTTTTTTTCTATGCAATGGCTGACATCTAAGCTCAGCAGCAGTAACCTTACATAATAATATTTGCTATATGGAACACTGACCTATAGCACTGACATGCATATACATCCAAATTACGTTTCCATCTCTTTGTTTCCTTCATTTCTGTTCAGTTTATATCACTTTGTATCGTGCGTAGTCCAGTGGTTAGCGGCCCTGGCTATGGACCAAGGGAGGTTGGGAGTTCGAATCCCGACAAGGAGGTAAGAAAATGTTTATGTAACAAAATATACAGTATGACGCCTTTACCTGAATGCCGACGTGGATGGCCGTTTCTTGCTGGTGCCGACTTTCTGGACAACTCCGCATCTCTGTTAGCAAAGGTTTAGAAAACATCAATATAACTACATGTGAAGATTCTACTGTCTCTGCTCAAAGAGCCACATACTGTGTATCTAACCGCTAACGTAGCAATGTAGTCTCCAAAATATCTCTCTGTCCATGTCTCAGTAATGATATTCAAATGGAATATTACCATTATATGATACTCCTTTGCACTGACTTATTAGCCTGATTACATGTAAATTACTTTACGGATGGCCGCCCGCTGAAAATCCAGCCTGCAGGGAGGGGCCACTAAAGCTGTGATTGACAGAGATTGCATTACTCACCCGTTGGAGCTTTTTGCTCTTGCCATCTGTGTCTGCGGCCTTGACCTCCAAAGACCGGGGTCGACGACCCCTGGCATGGTCTTTCTGGTCGCAAACAGGTAAGATCTGTACTTCTCCAGCTCTTTCTTGTTGATGTGTCCTGGGTGGAGAAATGTGACACTATCAGATTGACTCATTTCTACTTCTAACATTTTAGCTATTTTGCTCGAAATCCTTTTTTCTGCATACCTGTACTTGTTCAGGTAACTTTTTACCTGCACCAGACAAATTTTCACTGCACCACTCAGACTTTAGGAAGTATGGATCATACTAAAAACTGTTAAGAAACTTTTGCCATTTATAATTTCTTTTAAAATTTCAAAGGTTGCGTAAACATACACTTACATTTATCTAAAAACCTAAACCTAGTACATGGTCCAGTGCAGGTTAGGTACAGGTAGACATCAGAAATACCTGCACAGCTCCAATGTTACCTGCGCTAACCTGCATATACTCAGTACATGGACCAGTGCAGGTTAGGTGCAGGTAGACATCAGAAATACCTGCACAGCCTCTGAATTTTACCTGCACTAAGGTACATATGCACCCAGTATTTCGAGCCATGCAGACTGCTATAGAGTGAAAGAGTCCAAGTATGTTGTTCCTACCCATTTTCTGTTGATGCCTGAGGAACTGTTCATATCTGCCCTGAATGAGCCTCTTCATGTGAGAGGTGCTGTACACAGCTGCAGTGCTCCACAGGTACTGTCTCTGGCCCCAGTTCAGGTCAGGGTGCTGGGGGCAAACACAAGTGCAAAAAAATGGTAAGTCGTAGAATACCACAATATAACGTGTAACTTACTTGGCATCCAAGATTAACTTTTGAAACCAAACATTTTGTTAGGTAGGGGCATATGACTAGATACAGACATTCGCAAGTGACTGAAAAGCATAAAAAGGATTATAGCTGATCATGATGACGAGAATGAAATATTTGTCTTTTTATAATGTATACTGTTATGCTGTAACAAACGTTGGTTAACCTTCATCAATGTAAATTCTATACATTTTAGGATTATTTTTCCAGTATGTACATATGATATATAGAGGTACAGATTTATCTGTGTTGGTAGTAATCATAGTGCGATGCTAAACTTTATTCCAACACAAGGGTACACAAGGATCATATTTTCAATGACCACTTTGTGTTGGAATAAAGTTAAGCATCATACTACATTGTATGAGTTGAAGATTTATGATAAGTTACCTGTAGGTAATAGTTCTTCTTCATGGAGGGAGGACATGTGAAGGCCCTGCGGCGGCTCCATGGCTGGGAGGTCAGGCTGTAGGGGAAGCTGGGGATCTGGTAACTCATGTGGTAGCTGTCCTTCATCAGGTATGACGCTGGGTCTGGGAACATGGAAACTCACTGTTATTTGTGAGTTAAGTACAGTACAGTACAGTACAGTAACTTAGGTAGAGTACAGTACAGTAGGTTTGAGTACAGTAAGGGCTGTAGGGGAAGCTGGGGATCTGGTAACTCAGGTGGTAACTGTCCTTCATCAGGTACGAGGCTGGGTCTGAAAAAGTGACAAGTTACAGTTATTTATGAATCACTTTTATGTGTCGTATTGTGTGTTAGAATGGACCACAGGCTGGGAGGTCAGGCTGTAGGGGAAGCTGGGGATCTGGTAACTCAGGTGGTAACTGTCCTTCATCAGGTACGAGGCTGGGTCTGGAAACATGGCAGGTTACAGTTATTTATCATCAGACTTAAGTACAGTACAGTACAGTACAGTAAAGTACAGTACAGTAGGTTTGAGTACAGTAAGGGCTGTAGGGGAAGCTGGGGATCTGGTAACTCATGTGGTAGCTGTCTTTCATCAGGTACGACGCTGGGTCTGGAAACAGGCCAGGTAACAGTTATTTATCATCAGACTTAAGTACAGTACAGTACAGTAACTTACAGTAAAGTACAGTACAGTAGGTTTGAGTACAGTAAGGGCTGTAGGGGAAGCTGGGAATCTGGTAACTCAGGTGGTAACTGTCCTTCATCAGGTATGACGCTGGGTCTGGAAACAGGGCAAGTTACGTTTACTTTTGGCCAAAGTGGGACACTGCACACTTATAGTCTATTGTGCATACATTTTGTAACAGGACATAATGTCCACTTAACTCACATTAGTATGGATTTGAAGCTCTAGTCAGTCTAGAACTGGTCACTTTATACACTGGAGGAAAAAACTGTGTACAGTTCTTAAGTGGCAAATATGCAGATGCAACACCACATCCATCTGTCTGTGTCCTCATCAGTGTTTGGCTACAGTATCAACGATTAGCCAAAAGGCCCAGTGGGCGTCACTCCACCATACGTTGAAGGAAAGTGTGGTAAATGTCAAGTTGTTGTCAAATATTTTTCATAGAAATCAAAAGAAAAACAGCCATCTAACTACACAATGCTAGACTGAATGTTACAGCTCACAAACAAAGTGCTAACTTCTGTCTCTCACCTGTGTATCTCCCATGAGTCTCCCCTGCACCGTCATCAGGTGGTACACTTTGGCTACATCACAAAAACAAACACCTGAATCATTCTCCTACCACTAACACCTAGCCTCCATAGCATGCCAAAAACTGGGGGTCTTCAGGGTCTTTGGGAGCTTTTATGTGCTATTTTCTGATTGCACATAGACCACAAAGCTGGCCTGATTGAATTATCCCCATTTTTTGAACTGGGCTAAGGCCACACCAATTTAATTTCTTGGTTAACGGATTTTTCTAGAAAAAAAATGGAGCGGGCGGGCGAAAAAAAAAATAAAAATAAAAATTTGAGAGTACCAGCCATGTAGTAAGCAATCCATTAAGTTAAGTTACAAAATGATATAAGACATAATATTGGACACTTATTGAACTGAAAGGACCATTGCTACATCAGCAACTTCTCTTACATCCTTTTACAATTATTCATATTATTTTGCAAGATACACATCTTTACTGTATGAACAACAAACTGTCAGTTGACAAGACTCCGATCCAACTGGTTTCACTTTTATTCATCTTTCTAAGTTCCAAAGAGTGGTTTAAATCAGGGTGCTCTGTTCAGATCCCATTGTTTTCTTACAGTTCAGGGCACACAGCTTACCACTGGGCTGGGCATTCTATTGTGTCTGGCTGATATGGAAGTTATTTAGGGACCCTACGGTATTTTACCGGGGGGGGGAGGGCCGGTGCGTACGGGGGGAGGGCCAAGGAAAAATGAGAAGGGGCGGGGGGAGGGCCAAGGAAAAATAAGAGAAGGCGGGGGGAGGGCCAAGGAAAACTTTTTATCACAATTCTTATACCTCTAGATGTAAGGAGAAGCCAGCAAACAGTTCGATTTCTACCTTAAAACCACTTGTAAAACGCATTTTCCGCGCTGCGCGGCCACTTGAAATCTGAAATCACACGAACACCGTCTTCCACATGTAGGTATTACCGCGAGTTGTAAGCTCTGATTGGTTCACCCCCGAAAACCTGCGCTCTGATTGGTTTATCAGCTGTGCATTACGTATTACTAGGAATATGGCACGAGTTTCTCACGCTGTGAGAGTTTGTTCTGCTGACCCCTTCGTAACGATATCGGTTAAAAATGAAATCCAGTTCTTCTGAAGACAACATGCAGTTTATTTTCGCGGCACGCCGTGCCCTTCCCAACAGCACAACAGTATTTTTCACGTGTGTAGAATCGTGTATACATCGATATTCCCGGCCCGCTGCTGGTCCCGCACCGCGCCGCTCGAATTTCCCAGAGCCGATGAGAGTAAACCATACAAGGTAATTTTAATTAAACCAAGGACTGGCTCAACATTTTTTGTCCGATCTCAGAATGTCCTTCTAAGAAATCTTCTGTAATGTCCTTGGTTGAGGCGAACTGAGATTCGATTGACGAATAGACGAAATGTGTACCCAGCAAAACATCAAAAATGCGTTCCCAAAATACAGGAAATGGCGTTTCCAGAGGGTCGAGATTTTAAAATTTTCCCGGGGAGCAAGCCCCGATTCCCCTTGTGTATTGTGGAAGAAGTTCGTGGACGTCATGCAGTCGAATAGCGAGTAAGAAACTTAGCTACAAAGTACAAATTTAGCTTCATGTAGCAGCAAAATTTTCCCCCGAAAATGCAGGAAAACACGTTTCAGAGAGTTAAAATCTCAAATTTTTCCGGGGGAGCATGCCCCCGAACCCCCCTAGGGTTCGAAACCCCGGCTCACGCCTTCGGCGCTCGATACTTGATTCCATACAAATCTCATCCCCCACTGACGGTCAAGATTTCCTGCCGCCGCCTCTGCCTACTCCATTGAAACATTGGACATGACAGCAAGAGTTTTCTGTATAATGATCTAAAAATTGAACACAAACTGCTGAGATGAAGGAGGGTGTTATTCCCTAAATGACACACAATGACCGTTCAGTTCTGTTTCAGGAAGAATTCATAGACGAAATTCTAGAAGGAGCATTAAACTTAGCTTGAAATAAAACAAAAATTTAGGGCTCAAAATGCTGGAAATAGCGTTTCAGAGGGGTTAGAATTCAAAATTTCCCGGGGGGGCATGCCCCCGGACCCCCCTAGCAGGCTCGCGCCTACGGCGCTCGCTGACGGACGCCTTCGGCGCCCGAAATCTTGCCCCCCCAATCAAAATTTCCTGCCGCCGCCTCTGTTATCGAGAACAACGCCGACCCAAAGCCAATCCCCGTCCGCGCAAATTTGCCCCATTTCCTTGGCCCGGCGGGCACGCTCAAGAGCCGGGAGCTTCCCACGGAATATTTCACTTCGTCGCGTGCCGCACTTAAATATCATATCAAACTATTAATAAATCATTATTGATTGTTGATAGTATTAATTAGGATGTAGTTTCAGGGGCATTTGTAATGTTTCAGAAAAGGGGGGAGGGCCAAGGAAAGTTTTCTTATAGCGGGGGGGAGGGCCAGGGAAAAAAAATAAATACGGGGGGGGGAGGGCCAGGGAAAACCTTTTCTGCCCGATTTCCTACGCACCGGCCTCCCCCCCCCCCGATAAATAACGTACGGTCCCTTAGAGCTTGAAATTTACAATATCCTAAATATTTGCTTTAGACAAATTTCCAGGAATGTTTAAAAGTTATTGGCAAAAGAATTAACTACTTTAACAGATATTTTATTTCTTTTTTTTATCTTTCCCCAATTCCCAAATACTACCGGTAGTATCCATTTTATATTTCCCATTATACACTTTAGGTATGCTACAGCTACATTATACATAGCCATAATTCAAACAAATAGCCACATTGACACACTCTTCAAGTTGCCACAAATTCAATGGTCTAGGGTTTCACTATAAATTCTTTGATGTATGGGGATTTTTTTATTTGTAAGGGGGAACCATTTTATTAAAAAATTTAGATGTAATAATTGATGCATTATTTGCAATTATTCTCCTGTTTATAGGTATCTAAATAAGATGTAGCTTTGTTAGAATGCCACATGCACATGTAGTATTTTTCACGGAGTAATTTCTGTAATTAAAAGGACCTGTTTCCCCCTACTCGAAGTGGACTCTTCCGACCGTGAGAAAGACTTTAGTGAATGGACTTACGTGCATGGAGGACTTTTTACTTTGCCAAATTCCCATGTTTGTGGTAGGATTTTGTACTTTTTGAGAGTAATACAGTTTGTGATGCCAGAATACATTGTTATTTCGTGTTATTTTTACATATTCCCTGGAAAAAAGATCGTTTTGAAGGTGTGTGTGCATGTGCCGCCCAGGCCGAGTTACGTTCGGCCGATTACTTTTAACGCCCGTCACTAGCACGTTTCCGACACAATACGTGTTCCTAAATATGATATAACGTTATATCTGTAACAGTGCTAACTGACCATGCTAAACGGTCGTGCGACCTTTTAGTGTAGTGGTTAGCGTTGGTGACCACCACGCGGACAACTCGGGTTCGATTCCCGGTTGTGACATGCTCGCCCCTTTCGGTTTTTACAGTGGCGCCCGATGTGGGCCCTGTGAGTACTGGCACTGAGGATAAGTGTGGCAGCTCCAGGGATGTCGGACTCGGAAGATTCGAGGACGAATCTTGAAAGAAAAGGGGGAGTAGTGTAACAGTGCTAACTGACCATGCTAAACGGTCGTGCGACCTTTTAGTGTAGTGGTTAGCGTTGGTGACCACCACGCGGACAACTCGGGTTCGATTCCCGGTTGTGACATGCTCGCCCCTTTCGGTTTTTACATATCTAAAAGGGAGATGATATGTTGTCACAGGCACGATGACTTAGTAAATCTGCCGTACGTTTGTCGTCAGTGAAGTTTTGTCTCATGAATGGTGACATGTGCAAAGGGGGTGGGGGGCGAGTTCTATATCAAAAGAATTTGACGAACTTTTGAAGAGGCAACCTAGCTTTCCGAACAAATTGCACGCAGACAAATGTTTCTGCCTTGAAGCAATGTATTTTTAACGCTGTTAACTATGCCCAAATTTTTAAAAATTACAACGTACCGGGTGGATTTTGGGGCCCACAATTCGGGACTCGAGAGTATGGATTTTTGTTCTGTTTTTTATTACTCCGTGAAGGAGGTCAGGACCTCCGGACGGAGTGTTGTAATCGGCTGATTTTTCATGTTCGCAGTCAAAACACTGGGTTCTCTTTGTGTAATCGGCACGCAATTTTATACGCCGTCTGCGGGCATGCCCGTGTTGATGCACGAATGTGTATTTTTGCCGTTGCTGCTTTCGCGGTCAATGTAATATCGCAGACGCACCCCTACAATTACGAGGCGAATTGGAATGGTCCAGAAAAACGCGTTGTTTGGAATAGCAGTGGGGTTCAAAAAAGTTCATGCAGATACGGGGTGGTTTTTATAAGTGGTTCCAGATGTTTTTGCCCATGGTTAAGAGATGCCAAGTTTTTTGGAAGATGTTCGCAGCCAAAACGCATTCTTCCGTACGTCGCATTTCTGTGTAATTTCGCATGTGGTGTTGCATTATGTCCGGGATGATGCACGTCTTTTTATTTTTACCGTAGCTGTTTTGATATTGGAGTAAATGCTTATTTTCGAAACATCCCCATTTCTTTGAAATGGTTTCGTCAGTTTATGCAACTGTTACTGCGCTAATGACGACCAGTCGCGCTGTCCTGATACACCGCGAATGTGCGAGTGTTCCCTGTAGACAGTCCCGGGAGTCATTTTTTTGCACATTCCAGGAGCCAAACCAAAATACGTTCATGAACCGAGTCCAAAAAACCGAAACGTGAAAATCGGATGATCGGACCTGATGTACATTTCTCTTTCTATAGATTGTACACACAATACACACATCTTTAGATAATCTGGCCATGGCAGGTTAAAAAAAAAGTAACCCTGAATCATACTAGATTAGCGTAAATGCATGTTAATGCGTTCAAAACAAGAAAAAAAATTGTTTCCGGGTATTAATCTCTTGAATCACGGCGCTGAATATTGACGCAAAAATATTTCGGGCATCGCGCGCCCTTCCCGCGTCACGTGTAGGCATCTCGCATCTCTGATTGGTTGTTGCGTCTTAAGATGACTGAGCCGACGCGCGTTTAAACAATTTTTCTTTGTTCGATTTATCACACTTCACAGAGAATTGTCGCCAATGGCTACTTCTTTTTGTTGCAATATATAATACTTCACGGAGAATTGTCGCCTATGGCTTCTTGTTTTTATTTCATTTTGGCAAAAAAACGAAGCGGCGAATCCGTTAACCAAGGAAATAAATTGGTGTGGCCTAATCAGAAAACAGCCCAAAACCACCAAACCCCCAGTTCTATAAGCCTGCTACGGAGACTAACTAACACCAGTATTCATACACCAAGTTATACCATGCATACTGTCATCTATGTTGGTAGTTACATGTTTAAAGTTTAAAGGTTTGGTCCAACACAAAGAATGGCTCTCACCTAGAGCTTTCAACCAGTGACCAAGTGTAGATGACAAAAACAAACACCTGAATCATTCTCCTACCACTAACACCAGTCTTCATACACCAGGTCATACCATTGCATACTGCCATCTGTGTTGGTAGTTACATGTTTAAACTTTTGTTTGCACACAAAGAATATTCTCACCTAGGCAAGAGCTTTCAACCAGTGATAGTTTCAAGCATCATACCATTCATCTATTGTACTGCACATTTTGCTGTTTCAATTATTAATAGCAGTCTCCTGTGCAAACATCAAGAGTTTGATTTGAACTTACAGCTGAATTTCACCTGGTCATGAAACATGGCTCAATACACAATACACAGATGGACCTGGTTAATTATTTATGACAGTGCAATTGTACCCATGACTTAGGTTGTAAGATGACAAATTTGTTACATAGACCAGAGCCCGTAACCGTTACATGTATAGTTAAAAATTTCAAAAATGGGAAAAAATTAGGACCCTACCTCCGTAGAATAGAGTCATGCTCAGGTGCAGTTGTGCTCCTTTTGTGTAGCTTTCTGCTAGGCTGAGAAGAGAAACAGGAGATACAATATATATTATAGACATTCAGGGCTTGAAATAAATTTTTCTACATACCTGCACTGGTGCAGGTAACATTGAAAATTACCTGCACCAGACAAATTTTACCTGCACCTCTCAGACATTGAGCTTCAAAACATGGAAACCAAACAAAAGTTAACTGGTCCTTACATGCTACTGTTTAGACACTTGTGGTCAAAACACTTTAGAAGAGAAATAATCTCCAGGCAAAAACAAAACTCTTTCCCTACAGGTGTGTCCACAAACTTGTTTGCTGACTTAACACATAAGGGGATTTGTAAGAACTCGAGAAGGGAAGGTTCATGAACTTCTGGAGTAGTTGTTGGTCATTCTGAAACTTAAACATTGCATGGTTTTGACTCTGTGCTCTACTCTAGAACATAATATCAAAGTAACAAATGGTCATGGGGCTTATCGTGGAAATTGTTCAGTCTGTGTTCAATTTGGTAGTAATCATTCATGGTACTACAATATGTTGAAACTTTATTCCAACACAAAAAGCACACAGGAATTAAATTTTCAACAACCACTGTTGCGAGTTTACGTTCTTAGATCCTGATGAAGGCAACAGTGGTCATTGAAAATTTGATTCTTGGGTTACCTCTTTTGGTTGGAATAAAGTTTTAAACATTGTGCCATTGTCTTGGGGCTTGTTTGTAGTCTGATGTTAACAGGTGGTACTTATAGGCCATCAGGCTAATACATGTTTCCTTGCAACCAAAAAGGACTTATTCTCTGAAATTGGCCATTAACAAACAGTTTTACTGGCATATTATTGTCCTGAAAAAATATTTGCATCAGTCAAGAAAGTTATAGGGCCTCTTTGCATCAATAAGGTCATATTCTTGTGCAAATAGACATTCTTATATAATAAAAGCCCTTTTCTAAATATAGCTATTACACTCATAATTATACTATTTACAGAAACTGTAAAAGGTACAAAAACACTGTTGATCACTGATCATGATTTAAAAAACTCAAAATAGATCTTATGAAAAATCGTGACTGAAAGAGAAAGGAATAGATTTTTATCCTACTTTACTTTTTTTTATAAATCATAACTAGCTTATAAATCTTTGTAGCTTGTTGTCTCTGGGGTTAGTCCTTTAGAATAGTTGTAACTAGTTAGGCAACCCTGGCCGTCTTTTGAAAAGCTGAACCAACAAAATAAAATAAAATAATTTAAAAATGAATCATTAGGCCACACCAATTTAATTTCTTGGTTAACGGATTCGCCGCTTCATTTTTTTCTGATTTGCAAATAAAAATAAAAATTCAGAATCAACTGCAAAATGCTCATATTTTGCCCTGAACAGTTGAAAACAGTCCTTTACATCCTAGTTCTTAAAGTTATTCCATCTTTCAATGCAGTGGTATCATTAAAAGTTCAAAATTCATTGCTTAAATTTTGAACCAGCCTGGTGTGTTGACTTCGTGGCTCCTAACGTACCATTTTGGGCCATAATAGGATGCCTAGGCCTGTTTTTATTTTTATTATTTTTTCGCCCGCCCGCTCCATTATTTTTCTTGAAAAATCCGTTAACCAAGAAATTAAATTGGTGTGGCCTTATGAGCTACCTCCTTGCCCCTGGTCCTGAGCAGTTTCCCCTCGGTGGCAGTTTTGGGAACCCGGCCGTACTTGTACTCTGGGCTGAACCTGTACCGATCCTGGTCATCTCTCCCAGGGGGGAAGCTGTGGAGAACACAGTAGAGTAAACCATCAAAATATCAACTTATGATACCATGGCAAGAAGTTCTTCAATGATTGAATACTATTATTCACTTTATGCTCACAGAAACAAAAGTTTGTGGTCTGAGAAAAATGTGTGACATGTTCACAGAGCTATATGTTCATGGTGGTGGCAGGTGCAGAAAAACAAAGTCAGCAAATTATTTGTTCATAGTAATAAAAAGTGCGCGGTATAGAAGTGACTGCGAATGCTGCAAAGTTAACATATTACTGCAAAAAATGGTGAATTACAGTACACAGCCTGACCACTTTTCAAGTTTTGCCAAAAGCACTTTTTAACCTACCTGAAATCACTTAGAAAAACACTAAAACCATTTCAACTGGTGACATGACGTAACAAAGTTATTTTGCAACAAATGCTGGTACCGGTACATCAAAACACCTACCATAAAGTCATTTTACTTAACAAATTGAAAAAAAATCCCCCACAAAGAGTCTTTTAAATGCCATTGTCCGATCACAATACGTTTAGTGCTCAGGTATACACAACATAACAACTAACTGAGGCTGCATGTCAGTGGCAACAACACGATGTTATGTAACAAGAGAGCCTTTACAACTTGACCTGTAGAAACCCACGTCTTGCTCGTACCTATTCTTCGACCCGTGGGTCGTGGTCGGCATTCGACTCATAGCTTCACAGTGACAACTGATCCGCCGCGCTTCTCGCGAGCAAAAACACAGACCACAACGCCCATTCACCGTCAACTCCTACCCTAAACAACGTTACCTAGCTCTGCGTGTTTGGCCGTGTATGAAGCACCCTAGAGAGCAGCTGGCATAAAAAAAGAGCAATATTTGCATACAAGCTCAGGGGACAAAGCCGCGGTTCAACAGGACTCGGATTTGTTTCCTTGGTTTTGCGTGCAAGCGGAACGTCACAAAAAGGGCAACGCAGGTCGCTAGCGATAATAACAGTTGTCTGACAGGTGCCATAACGACTGAATTGCTCAACAGTCATAAATTAAGGATCAACTGGGTAGACAGGTAATCTTGAGGTTTTGATAAAGTCTTTTAAAAAAAATAAAGACAGGTATTTTTGAGTCTGTACATGATACTTTGAACATTTCTGTGAGCAATTAATCTAACAATTAATTCAGACGAGATTGACTGAAAATTTATGGTGCCATACAACTACGGATTCTACCAACAAAGTTGAGCTTCAATTAAGCAACTAATCCGCTGCAACTCTAAGAGAAGTGTTTAAAACTTCAAATACTGTCACCTTTGCTGCCTTTTTATACACTGTATTTTCCTAATCTAATCCTCTATTTCCAGTCACAAAGCCAAGTTTAATTTATTCTTAGTCATTCTCTTGTTGTCAACCTGACTTGATTAAGTGAACGACAAGTCCTGACGGGAAGTAATATAAGCGTACTTGGTGCACAAACAGAGACAGACAGCAACAGTGGAATTTTAACTTAGATCAATATTTGACACCACAACTGTAATGGCAATGCTTACATACAACCAAACTATTCCATCATCAGAACTTGTCGACTTCAAAAGGAATATAGCAGGTGTTTTGTAATCTCTTTGTCTGGACTTATGGCAAGACTTTGAAAACAAATGTTGTCCCTAGCCTCCGTAGCAGGCTTATAGAACTGGGGGTTTGGTGGTCTTCGGCTGTTTTCTGATTACCTCAGTTCAAAAAAACAGGGGTAATTCAACCAGGCCGGCTATGTTGTCTATATGCAATCAGAAAATAGCATATAAAAGCTCCCAAAGACCCTGAAGACCCCCCAAAACCCCCAGTTTTTGGCACCAGCTTTTCTCACAATTTCGGTTCTTTTTTTCTCACAATTTCGGTTCTTTTTTTCTTTTTTTTTTTGCACTTTGCTGTTTTCATGTTTTCTTTTCAGCACCATCACCCCACCGGCCGCACTTAGCCGTGCACCCAGCACCCTGGTCGTGATGCCCCAGTAAGGGGTTTTGACCAGTATCACATAGAAGTAGAAGTATGGAAGCTATGGTCTCCCTACATAACAAGCTTTTTTCACCTGTCTGTGCATGCAAGGTGTGCAAACAGTTCCACTCTTCGCCCTTTTTTCTGGAGGTTTCTTTTCCAGGCCAGTGCATACACACAAAAGTTGAACCAATTACACCAAATTAGTCCACTAATGTAGCGTGACAAAGACCAGCCAACCTTTTCTGTACTTTAAAGAGCCTAAAAAGCAGGTAAACCGATGTAGCATGCACCTTTCTAGTAGGGGATTAACAACAGGTGTAGTGTGTAGCTATTCTGTGTAAGAATCACAATCCTCAGGTCCAGCTGAGTAGGCAAATGTCAGTGCATTTTAAGGCTGTCAGTAGATGATCTGTATCTGTATCTGTATAGTCGGTATGACCGCCCATCAGCTTGACACACCAGCCTCTGTATCTGTATAGCCGCCATTTGGCGTAACACACCAGCTTCTGTATCTGTATAGCCGGTATAACCGTCCTTCAGCATAACACACCAGCATCTGTATCTGTGTAGCCAGTATAACCTCCCTTTGGCATAACATACCAGCTTCTGTATCTGTATCTCTATAGGTATTATAACCACCATTCGGAGTAACACACCAACTTCTATATCTGTATAATTGCTCATCGGCAAAACACACCAGCTTCGCAGGCACGCGGCGTGGCAGCAGCTGGCCACATTACACCTAACAACTTGTTACACCTAACCTTTGAACATCTAACTGTATTTGTATCCATATACTGTACCTGTGATCTGTTTTACTCTTTTTGCTTTTCTTTTTTTTTCAGATCCCTTATAGGCTTGCTAGTGTGTTACCCAAAAGACTTACTGGTATCCATAGTGGCACTACTAGTCTTTGTGCAGGTTGACAGGTCTCACAAAAAATAATAAAAAGCAATAAATAGTGACTATATATGGTATTAGAATTCCACATGCACCCTGGTCTAGTATTAGCAAGACCTAGCCCAGTGTTGTCTTCAATAGCCACATGGGATTTAAATGTATCATGATAGCCATACTACCATTGTTTACAGTAATCCATAGTAGCTCTAAATGTTTACTTGCATAATGCCATAGATACCATTTGGTAAATGGCTAGAAAATGTGCCATTTGTACAAGTTGTAGTTTTTTCAGGTTCTTTGTAACATGTTTTTGTTATGCATCATGTCAAAGTATTTCAATACATTTTCAGACACATAGACCACCTTTCATATTGTGATTGTAACTTGATATCCCACTATCTGTAATAACAAGGACATTGGTGCCCTGTGCTATGACCTGCAGGCATAAAAACTTCAGAACAGACATGGAAACTTGTAGAGCAGGCTTGACAACCATGTAAATGCATGCTGGGGTCACAGGCTTTCTTGGAAAGGTTGAACTGTCCAGGGTTTGAATTCTAAAGGACACATGCTGTTTTCAAGGTTAAACACGCTTTAACCTTCTTAAGGGCGTACAGTACATTCAAGACCCTAAAAATCAACTATCAATACATCTTCATTTTAGTCAGTAGAAATTCTTCGATCAGTGACTGTATTTTTGTAAGGTAGATTACGTACCTCCAAATTTCAAGGTGATCAAGGTGTACAGTCGACACCGAAACTTTGGAGGTACGTAATCTATCTTACAAATATACAGTCACAGTGTCACTGATCGAAGAATTTCTACTAACTGTTAATTCTACGTGACTGATGAACCTCCTCAATGATCTTCATTTTAGGTGTCAAACACACAATTAGAGGAAATTCTAGAAATGAAATACAAAGATGCATACCTTGGTTCTTGCACTGGAGCTGGCATTTTAACGCTGTGGGCAACACCTTCTCTTATCCAGGGTAAAAACACTCGGTCCTGGTGTGTGTGTGCGTTTGTGACAGCTACGGTGTAATCGGGTAATGGAGCTCTTTATAATGGCAGAACCACCGCTAACAAAACATCTGTTGGTGATAAGAGAGATATCATACACATGTCCCCCATATCCTTACAACACAAGGCTTTATATTATATCACAGGATACTACAGCAATTCTCCGCCGCACTTCACCCAAAGCACCGTGTATAATGGGTAGAGAACACGCCGAGTAACACAATAGTAACTCAAGAGCAAGTTTTGAAACACAACACTGTGGAACTAAAACATGAGCATAGCTACACACCGCTCTAAAACGTTGTCGTTTTTAGGGCTAGGAACAGTCACAAATCATCTGACAAGTTCTTGAAGGTTGTAAAGTACGTGTCACGTACCTTAAAGGTGTCAAAACGGCGCACTCCTGACGGAAACTAGCTGGTTATGTAGTAGAAATCAAGCATTACGTTGTTAGACCACTCGTGTCTCCATGGCTTTTGTGTGCTTAGCTGTCAAGAGGCGAGTCCATTATATGGGGGTGTAAAGTAAAATTTGATCCTCATAAACATATTATTTATCACTTATAAAGAACAAATACAAAATCTAGTCTATATAAAATTTAAAATATTCACACTGATGAACTATAAACGTACATATTTGTCGATAACTTTTGACGCAGTTCCATAGAAAGCGAGTATCACCCCTTTCAAATAGAGTGGACGAACCCTTTCAGTGTGAGCTAGATCCGGCTTACTTCCGGGTGTGCGCACACAAAACGACAGGCACGAAATTGGGACACGTTGCTACGCGACGGCGTCTCAGCTGGCCAGAACGCGCATTGGCAAGACTTAGTCTCTACAAGACTAACTACGCTGGCTACATATAGGAGAATATTTGCCAGGGGAGTTTGGCCGCCTTGGGGTTTGACTATGCCGCGGAGGGAAAGAAACTACCTCCCCGCGGCCGGACTCCCTTGGCCCATTTGATTCTCTTTTTTGCCGAATTCTACGATCCGTATTCCTCAAGCACGTTCACGTCCTTGGTATTCCTGTAGAAAGGCCTGGTGGAGGCTAGGCTAGACTGCAATGGGTATAATTATCCCTCATTGGAACCAATACAAAACGGTACAAATGAACTGTTACTATTTCTACCACTAGGAAGCTTTAAATAACTCCTGGAATTAAATATGTGCAAAGATTGGGTGTAACAGGTGGTTCGGTGTAATGTACTAGTAGCTCGCTGCCGCCGCGCCGCGTGCCTGTGAAGCTGGTGTGTTACGCCGAGGGGCGGTTATACCGGCTATGCAGATGCAGATACAGATTTGTTCATGGGTGTTACAGTTACCTGTATCGTGATACAATATATATGTGGCAATTCCTGTATGGTAATACAATACAATATATATGTGGCAATTCCTGTATGGTAATACAATACAATATATATGTGGCAATTCCTGTATGGTAATACAATACAATATATATGTGGCAATTCCTGTATGGTAATACAATACAATATACATGTATATGTGGCAATTCCTGTATGGTAATACAATACAATATATATGTGGCAATTCCTGTATGGTATACATAGGGGATATATCAAAGAATGTCTATACTTTATGTTAGAAATTTTTCCAATGATTGTAAAAGCTCATTCCCACATAATACTTGTCACATACTCTTGTATTAGGTAACTTAGCCTGTTAGAACTGTAGATATGTAACAGTGGACGCAATACTTTGTACCATGTACAATTGTTGTGCAATAAAGTAATTATTATAATCGGTACATCTGCCATCCGAGTAACTGGGACTCAATAGTTGAACATTTTGGGGGTTGGAAGATTGGAACACAAACTGTTGGCTTATACAACGATTTGATTTTGATGAACTTTCTAGTTATAAAGGTTTGGGCTCAAAATATGCTGGTGTATACCTGCAGCGCATAGCTGTGTCGCTAGGAGTAGCAAGAGCACATACTAGTATCACTAGTAAAAGTCCGGAAGTGCCTAGTGGGGTGAGTCATCATCGTCATCAACGCAATTTCAGCTGCAGGGCGGCAAAACTCAATTTTCAAAGTCAATTTTCTGGTCATTCTTTTAATGTAGTAAGATGAATCAGTCCTATCCCATAGCATACTGATATAAAAAATGTCCCATATCATCATCTTCTATTCACTAGCGTTTAAAGACATTTATTTTCATACTTCTGTGTAACAGAAATTCACCTCGGTAACAGGGGCGCAACCCCAAATAAAATAAAAAGGAAAAAAAAACTACGATCATAAAAGCTACGTAATAGTAGGTTCCTCTTTAATGATATGAATCTTTATTGCATGTTCTTGCCCAGATGGGCTAAATGCACAAGAGGATATGCAGTATGCAAAACATGAGTATTTCATACTGTCATACTATTCTACATACTGTCATACCAATTGAATATCTGAAAATTATGTCCCAGAAGTTCTGTCATCTCGGAAACGACCCTGTCCTATAATGACTAGCCTGATTTCCAAGAAGCTCTCTCGCCTCTTACTGGGTACTGGACATGACTCCGAAACTCTTCAGAATACGTGAGTTACGTGTTGAGCAGAAGGACAAATGGTTGTAGATGTCCGGTTTACACAGTAAACTATGCCAAATGGTTCATTGGTGTTGGCCGTGGTCCCAGATATGCGGGGCCAAAGAGCCCGATCGCCAGAGTTCAGGGTGTCAAACCGATGAATACATGTACAGCATGTTTCTTCGTGACTGAAATTGGGTGAGTTGCAACCTCTACATGACCGCATGCCTGCACATTTTCGTTCTCTCACTGTCTGTCAGACGAAGCTTGGTAGACATGCTATCGTTGAAGCATTAAGCATATAATTATTATGAATAAAAGACTATTGTACGTTTGTGCTCTAACAAGCTAAGTACAGGTCATGAATAGACAAGGGAAAGGATACAGCACTATAAATACTAATGTGATCTACTATTTACATGTTCAACCTCTTCTCGCTTCTTGACGCAGTAATAGATAACTCACTCACTCACTCCTCACTCACTAACTCTCTCACTAACTCATGATCAGCCACGTAGCCGTAGGGGCAGTCTAACAGTCTGTATCTGTATCTGTATAGCCGGTATAACCGCCCTTCGGCGTAACACACCAGCTAACAGTCTGTCATAAGTCAAGGCCATTCAACATAAAGGTCTATTCACTAAGGAATTTCAATAACCTCCTTCCATTCACCTTTCAAACGCAGAGAACCACAGTCACCTGAAAGACAGGGATTACAGAGAAGTATATTGCAAATCCATGCCATAAGAAGGCTAATTGCAAGTTACAAACATAAAAGAACTCTGAAACAGAGTATAAGATAACTTTAAAAAATGTACATAATGAAATCTAATTGTCTAAAACTATTGCTGTGTCTAAAACTGCAGTACATGTATGTCTGAAGGGTTTGACTTCTATATATACACACTATTACAATAAGAAAACCACTGCCTTTAAGCGTACGACGCCCTTTGACCCTAGTGACTACAGCTATGATTAACTGTTTGTCCAGAGAAGAAAGTGGACTATCCGGAAGTTCTTAAAGTCACTCCCGTCCGGTCTTAGCTTTCCGCACGCATGGGCCACGACAACAGTGTATGTACAGTACGTAAATATCGTGTGTTAAGCCTGGAATTCAACTTATAGTTGTCTGTTGGACTCTTCATTGATCCATGACTGTATAGAGCTCCTACTTAACATTTTCCGGGACTCACTCCTATTCAGGGGACGTTTCGAGTGCTGATACTATAGCTACGGTTGACGTAACACCATTTCGTGTTTGTCCGAGCGGAGCAAGAACACGTTACGTTACGGAGTCCTGGTCAAAAATGGCGGAGGGCAGCCAGAGGTCGAGGAAGGTCATCACAGGCCTGAGTGTCCTGGGGATAGAGAAGCGCTACGTGCCCAATAAACATTACGTGAGTATACCGTATACATACTGTACTACATTATACTATACGTATCGCACAGACACGTTGTATAGAACATACAACTACTGGAGTTCGACTCAGTGGACAGTGTCATTGAGTCAGAAAGTCGTTAAGCTCCAAGCATATTTTGTGGTACAAGGGGAGTCTATGTTGGTCACCTGTATGATCCAGTTAGCCTCTACCAGGCACCGCGGGTCGCAAATTGGGTCTTCTATGGCCCGGGATCTTTTCTGGTATACTGCTGTCCCTTTATTTCGGCCAATTTCTACTATTTTTCCAGCGATCCGCGGTGCCTGGTAGAGGCTATGATCCAGTGGCCTCCTGTAACCATTTGGGGCGGCCAGTGGTTTACAGGTGGTCAATATAGACTCCCCTTGCCCTACAAAATTTGATTGGAGATTGAAAGTCAGTGCCGGTCCTTGATCTCATCCGATTGGTATTTAGTGTTGGCTTCAAGATAGTCTTGGTGGGAGTTAGAATGATTCCGTACGTAGTTTGATCAGTATCTTTACCCCAGGTGTATTTTCATTGTCTTTGTCGTCTGATATTCCACTAAAACTAGGGGATATCGGGATTACACGTGGATTGGGAGGGGGAACCTTTTTTCACCACAAAGCTATTCGTCATCTGTTTTGCCGCAGGGCGAGTTTATTATATCTGTATCTGTGACTCGTTTCCTTCTGCATTTTTCAACAACATCCTGCTCATGTTTCAGAACAAGGAACTGGCAACAGTATATAGAAAGAAGATCTGAAAAGCAGAACCTTTCTACTGGTTTCTCTTCTAGAAAAGGTCATATGATGACTAGGGTGTTTGTAAACTGAACCAGTCAGGTGACTTTTTGTACCTGAATGCACACGTATAAAGGACAGTCCGTACCTGTCGCAGTGCGGTGCCTTAGTACTGCGTGGTACGTGCAGGTAGCCAAATACCGCTGACTCACTATGTCAACTGGTCGGGATGTCTCCCTTTATGAATGAATGAATAATGAATGAATGAAGACCTTTATTGTACATTCTTGCTACTATCCAAGCAGAGGTTGGTGGGGAAGATAGTGAACTTTCTATTCAATATGTCCCGTTTTTTTCTGTCGCTACGACACGTTGGTGGGGGTAGCGACCGTCGGAAAAATTAGAAAGGTGACAATCTTCCCCACCAACCTCTGCTTGGAGAGTACTGTTTTTTCCCCACTGGGCTAAGCACAGGTCACATAATATTAACAATCATATACAATGCATATAGATGTATATATTAACGTCTAACATACAAATGTTGTTTCGACTTCCTTCGCTTCTTGGTTAGCCTCTACCAGGCTTCGGGAGGCGACTGGAAAGAGTAGAAATCGGCCGAATAGAGAGATAGCATTGCCAGGGGAGTTGGTCTGCTGGAGAGAATAGTAGGGAGCTGACCAATTCCCCTGGCATGTTAGTCTCTCTATCTGGCCGATTTCTACTCTTTTCGGCCGCCCCCGAAGCCTGGTAGAGGCTACTTCTTGGTAACTGATTGTATATTGGTGTTAATTATATGACGTAAGGGACAATAATAGAAGCAGACGAGTACTATCTC